TGCCAGTCTAAACTTCCCTCTTTTTATCCGGGTCGTCCCACCTTGAAGAACATACCTTTTGTATTAATTGTTAATTTGTTCCTGACATTGCATGAAATAATTGGTTTGCCATTCAATCTCTCGGAAAGTTTTTATTTTGCGTACTCATAATTTAAGAATGTTCTTAACGATCTTAATTTCACATGCCCAATAAATCATCTGTTAATTATTCATCATAGATTTATTTTTGACGCAAAAATAACTATCAGTGTTCAAAATTTATCGGACAATAAACATTCAATATGTTTTAAGCGTGATGTACTCTATTTCTTGAATGATTATATGCATTAAACATGATTTTTAAATCCATTTTAGTCATCAATTTTATAAAGTAACTAAAAACAATATTGTTCATAAATAAATAGAATTAAAAATATCTAGTTCTTTTTCATTAATATTGTTTTGTGGTAATTATATTTAGCGAATTTAGGTACTGCGTTTATACAATGAATTGATAAAGCTCAGCATATCAAAATTACTCTGGTATTTTTTAAACTCGTAATGGTATTACATATAAACGAATTAAACAGTGATGTATTTACTTTTGTTTAAAAGTGAATAAATACAAATTATTTCAATCCACCGGAATTTGTATATTAATTTTTATCGAAGAGCGTATTACGGTAGGTAGATATCATCATTTACCACTCTTAGTGTATAGGGAAAAAGTAGTATTACATTTCTCGCTTAGGTTGGCCTTTTGTGTACCCATACAGGTGAATGAAGTCACCTTTGGAGCGCTGTGATTGGATGTACATGTAAGGGGGTTATATATATATATATAAACAAGTCTAAATTGAAAACAACGTTCAAACCTATGATTGCGTTGGATAAAAACCGCAATTTTTATACGTGTGCATGCAAAACAAATTTCTTGGTAGAGGGGTCTATATATATATATATATATATATGTAAACAAGTCTTAATTGAAAACAACGTTCAAACCTATGATTGCGTTGGATAAAAACCGCAATTTTTATACGTGTGCATGCGAAACAAATTTCTTGATAGAGGGGTCTAAATACAGCACAAACAACATTTTCCAAAAGACCAAAAAAGTGAAAAAGTATAATTTAACAAAACGCATTTGACTAACAGGTCGAACAACAGTTGTTCTTAAACCCTGCTGACTGCCATTGGCGATTGCCTAATAAACGGATCACAAGACGTTACAAAATGGATCTTTTAAAATTATTAATTTAATACCAAACAGAAAACAATAAACTTGCGGAAAAGATGGTATACCGCAAACAAAAGGTGCAAAAGTTAGTACACCATATCCGGATTTCGACAATCAATGTCTCTTCAGTGACATATATAGAAGTCTATAAAAAGGACCAACCAGCAAATAATTTTAACAATACTGATTGTATGTATAAAAATATATTACATTTTTATACATACAATCAGTATTGTTAAAATTATTGACACTGAAGAAGGCTATTTGTTAAGCCGAAATATTTGTCAACACGATTTAATAACAACATCTTCATATAATACCATCTTATATTAGTATCGTTGTGCAAATCTCTAGACTTATATATATATATATATATATATATATATATATATATATTTTTTTTAATTTTATGAATAACGGCAGTGTGTTTTGTTATGATATTGTGACTATCATGTTTATTTATCTTGGCCTTATTTGTTTTGTGTGGCCTTATAACATGTATAATATGTTTACATAATAGTTATAGTTGTTTATAAAATAATGTTATAGCTGTGCAGTTTAGAAATCACTGGAACAATCATAGATACTGATGGAATGATTAGAACTTTCTATTTGACGTAAATGATAATTCTGGAATGATCATAATCTATGATGTGCAATTTAAACTTCTACCATATTCTAGAAGTTTCCGTTCTACAATTTTCTAGGAGTTTCCCTTCTAAAGTGTTCTAGAGATTTCCGTGAAAACTATATACAGACACTAAAGTTAGACTGGCAGATTAGTCATTAATATTAGCAGAAGTTCTTTGGAGTTGTTACATTGACACTTTTATTTACGTTAACTACATCATACTAGATTGTGACTTACACATAATATTCTGTTTGGATTCCCGCAACAGTGAAGAGAAGAATTCCGGATAAAGAAAAGACAAAAGGATCGGACATATATTTTAACAGTTAAGTTGACATTTCAATTTGTATAATATTTCTTGTAAACTTTTGTATAATAAATCTTGTTAAATTTTATTATTGATTTGTGTCCTTTGTTGGCTACATTTTAAAGGTGATTTCTGGCCGTAACAGTATATTTACAATATAAATTATGAAACATAATGAGATATTTACTTTAGAAACATTCGAAAAAGCTTCTTAATTTTGGTAAATTTGATTAAAATTACGGTGGCCATGAATACTATTAACAAGCTCCGTACGAAGATGTTCATGCCACAATTCAACTTCAATTTCTTAAACAGAATAATCAAGTACTAATATCACATATAACTGTTTTGCCTAGGTTTTTATAATGAAAAGTTGTAAATTTAAAACAAATATTAGTATTGTCGCCTATTGAGGAACAAATACTACAGTACTGTTTTCCCTACAAACTGAATACTTTTTGTTAATTCTTCCTTGGGCCCGGTTATTACATTGGGCCTTTCTGTGTTTGCCACTGCATATTTCACATACATGTTTAAACCTACAACGAGAGAATTAGGGACAGTCATTACCATTATTATAGTATTTACAGGACATATTTGTACTACCACTAGTTACCTGTGATTTCTGATTTGTTCTTGTGTAAGTGTTTGAAAGTGTAGCTACATTGAATTATAATGAACACGATTTTGTGTATTCGTTCTATAACCCTGTGATTGCATTGACGTATTGTTTTGTACTGTGGGAGATGTGATGTGTAATAGCCAATATTCACCGTGTATGTTTCCCCAAGATAAATTTGGATTCTTTTCTATTTTTAGCCTAAATTGCTCGTCATAGGTGGCCCAGTTTTCTGACCTCGTTGCAGCTAATTTTATATCGCGCATATATTTTAACAATTCCTGTGCCCGAGTCCTGTATTTCTCAATGTTAACACTCATAACTACCATGAATACTGAAGTCTATTCCTTTATGGACAAATCAATACGCGACGATCTTTTTTCAATGCAAATTTTCCCTCTTTTTAATTTTAAATCGCCCTCGTCAACCTCCTCCATTTCTTTTTGCGTTCTCAAAAGAATATGTAGCTCAATAAACTTTCCCTCCGAAATCTTTTCCTTAATTTTAAAAGGCATATGTTCCCCCACTGTGTCATGAACGCTAGCCTCTTGTGTTGGGGTGAAATCAATCGAATTATGTGTCATTTCAAAATTTGTGCGTGACGGGTCGTGCATAAAAGGGGGGATTGCCCGTGCATCCTCCTCCGACTTATTACCTGATAATATGTCAGCTTCTTCCTGTACGTGTGCCTCCACCTGTTCCACCTCCTGTCTTTTCCTGTCCATTCTTTTGCGTCCAACTCCGTCCTTCTTTTGAGTCATGTCTACGGTCCGGACTCCCTGTCCTTCTTTCCTGCTGGTCGTCTTCCTCTTCTTTCCAATAGCCCTTGATGGCGATCCCCTGGCATTTCTTTTGTTTGGCATCTTTTAGTTTTAAATAATTAAACTATTTTTTGCAATACCTGCTTCGTTGTCGACAACAAATTAACAAGTGCCAGATACGGGAATTCCAAAATTCAAATTCCACGTGAGAGCACCATATATGGCAATGAGCTAAACGCTGCCACACCCACACTAATATTTGATTGAATTAAATAAAGGCAACAGTAGTATACCGCTGTTCGAAACTCATAAATCGATAGAGATAAAAACAAATCCGGGTTACAAACTAAAACTGAGGGAAACGCATCAAATATAAGAGGAGAACAACGACACAACAAAAACACAACATTAAAATGTAACACACACAGAAACGAACTATAATATAACAATGGCCATTTTCCTGACTTGGTACAGAATTAAACCAGATTATTGAAAATATAAAATTTTGATAATCTCTATTAATATGTGAGTCTGCTATGATGAATTGCAGATCGAGTTTACGTTTAATTCTGCTCCGCTGATTTGTACCTAAATTACAGGTTTTGGACTTCGTTTGATTTCGTGAAAGTAACAGTTATACGGACTTTCATTCCGAAATTTCCACAACTAAGAATAGCGTCAAGCTTTTTTTTGTGAGCGGGGCCATTCGTGTCGTTCCGACACATCTAGTTTTAATTTCATTTTGTGCAGTTAGATTCTGCAGTTACAAAATATCCTCCTTAGTTATCTTCGGGGACATTTTAAACAATGCCGAGTCAGTAGTCCAACACTACAATCCAACTGTAATGCTACACTGGAATAAGGCTTTTTGATACCTACTATACAAAGTAAAAACAAATTCTTCCTTAAAACAGTATCTTCTTCTCAATAAAGAATTCTGTATTACTTTACACATGCACGTTTGCAAATTACTGGATACTTTCGTGACTACATGACCATGATTGCATTGTTGTTGTTTCTTGTTCTTAGTTTCTGGAAATTACGTATCCATGATTTTGATTGCATTGTTGTTGGTAATTGTTCTTGGTTGCTGGAGATCACCTGCTAAGGCGGGTGTTAGGAAATTAGTTGTTCGAAGAGATTTAAGATAAAGAAGATAGGCCATTAACTAAGAAATAAACGCTTGTATTCAATAATTTTCAGACATTATCATTACTACCCAGAGAAAGTGTGAACATTAACAATTGTTGGCTAATAACGAATCTAACAATGGAAATAACGACTTTAAAAAAGATGATGTTTAACACTGATGTTAAGCAACAGAAAATAACAAAACAAATAGTCTGACTTGTGACAGGAAATAGGTGTCGTCGGTTTAAACTCATTTTTCAGATTAAAAATAGCCTCAAATACGCTATGTGTGCTATTATAAATATAACAACGGTATAACACATCTATTGCAGGTTTAACAATGACGAAATGAGACTATGTGTCTCAATAACAATACTGATGGTTCTTGAGATGTTTTTCATAGCGAAATCAAAGGGTAAGTTACATTGATAACTTAAGTCATAGGAAACGAGATTCTTTTAATTTTATTGTTCATGATGTTATTGGACCCGTACCCGCGTATTGTTAATGTTAGGTTTCGTAGTTTCTGACTTTATATTGAATTCTCGTCGAAGAAAGTCATCTCATTGGTGTCTTGGAGGATATAATTCTTTAATTACTTTATCTAAGTCTGGCACTATTTAAGTCAACACAAAATGATGTTGCATTATCCCGAACGTATAAAAAAAATTAATGTATTTGTGTACATGTACTCATTTTGAACGGAATATGATTTCAGTAACAAACGAAAAGATTCTTTGATCTAATATAATGTAAATAACATGGCGTTAGATAATTAGCAACTGTATTTGCCTAATAACAACTTTGAGACTTGCTTCCACTATAGTTACAAAAGCTTTTTAAGTATGATCGCTACAAAGCCTTGTTCTAATTCAATTAAAATATGGGCTGCACGTGATTGATGTCACAATTGAAATGCAACATCAGTTGTGTTTTTGAACAACGCCGGAAATCGCAATGGACATTTTTGTTGGTGCTGATCGCTAGGAAATTAAATAAAATCATTCTAAAAGTTTAGATGTACCTGTTAAATATTTTTTTGTGAATCGGTTGATTTTCTGTAACATTTTGGATTCATCAAATCAAAATGGATGCCTTTCGAACGCGTATTATAGGTCCGCTTCGAAGTACAAAAGTTCTAAATTTTCCTATTAGAATTGAAATAGTTCGTTCATGCCATGCTCTATGCTCATTTTAACATCGGTAGGCGTTATATTTGTCAACAAGATATTGACAAATATCATGCCCAGCCATGTTAAAATGAGCATATAGCATGACATGAAATATAATGCCTACCCATGTTAATATGAGTATAGAGCATGGCATGAAGGAATTATTTCTTAATTTTTTATTTTTGTCAGATATTCGGAATCCTCAAGACTTTTCCATGTAGTGCTAATAAAAAATTTGCCCGATAACTCCTACTTTTATTTATTTACATAATTTTATCACGTATAGTTTAAAAAGCCATTTTTGAAAATCTTAGTAAATCCTTGTTATTTTTTTTCAGAGTTTTTGAAAGAAAAAAGTGCCAATGTTAAATGTATGAAAAGTCTAGAGAGAATTATTAAGCGCCAAATTTCAATTGATTGTATCTCAAAAACAAGGATACGGACAGAAGTCCTTTCTTTTCTTTTTGTTTTTAAAGTTTCTTTGTTTATAATCCATCAATTTATTACAGTCTTTCAAAAAGCTTGTTATTTTGAAACATAGGAGCGAACATCCGTAAGGACATTATTGGTGTGTTAATACGGCATTTCACTCACAAGCATTGCATAAAGTCCGATTGTTAGTGAAAGGCCACATTTTGCATATCAATGGACCCCATGAAAAGAACATTTATAATTTAATATTCCAATAAAATACATAAAAAAATATGCCTAGATAAATATTTCACGAACACTAGCTTAACTATTTCGCTTGTGTAGATATTCATACTCATGACGTCATGACATCGGTTTTTAAATGTAGAAACTTTTAATTGTTGGTTGTTATGACGCTTTAAAATGAAATAACAAATATCGCATAATATATATAACATTAGAATTATATAAAAAATGATAATTAGAACCACGACTACATCAACATTACCCGAATAAACGAAGATTGTGTGTATTCGATAATGAGACATCAACCCCAACTTCAAAAATAAGTACTGTGGATTCATTATTATTCGTGGGATACACATTTTCGTTGATTTCATGGTTACGTATAAACCACCAATTTAAATGAACAACGAATTGAAATGCTTTATATGCTTGTATGCAGACTTTGGCAAAACCAGGAAATCCACGAAAATACATCTATATGACAGCATTCAGTCTTCAAAAATAGACAGATGTCAAGCTGCTGAATTTCGTTCCGGTTCTATGCAAGTTGTGAATACATTTAACAGAAAAACACAGGCAAATGTGGCAGATTTATACCAAGTCCCCAGTAAATTTCGATCAGAAGATTAGTCTGAACTGCTTTAGTATGATCCGAGATGGAATGGTGTTCATTTGGCTGTGTATAGTATTGACACGCAGTCGCATCGGTTTGGCTTAGTCGTTAATCTGAAATTGGCGTTTTTAGAAGCATGGGGGTGTTTTATGTGTTGTTTCCAAGTTCTCGAATAGCAGTGAACTACTCTATCTTTCCGTCCGGTCCACAGGCATTTTTTATACAAATCCAAACCTTAGTCATTGATTTATAAATTATGTAATTGTATTGCCCTTAGCATTACTATACTTGTAAAGCAATACGTTAAACATGCTTTGCTTATTCGTGCATCATACATTGTTGTTTTGTGCATGTTCTGTCGAAAACAACAACGACTTATGAAAGAAAGAACGATAACTTTTATAATAATTTTACATATAAGCTAATTATTATTAATTTTCGTACATTCTCTGAAATTCTAACTGCAACAAGATGGTATATTACATATTGGCGGAAACACGCCACTTACGGACACTTTTATGAATCAGTGCAGTCGTGTCAATGAATACTCTTTGTCTTAATATAGAAATTAACGCATCCAACCGACGTCACAAAGATATTTTTTTTTTAGTTCTCCTACAGCCAAACGAACGACACCCCATCGCAATCTATTCAGCATTATTCTTACTATCATGCAGGTGGACATACCTTTATAGATTTCTTTTCTAGACATTAGCTTTAATTTAGTCTGATTTAATTTTCTGATAATTTGATGGGCATCAATTCTGTAAAACAAACTTAAAATGTTATTTTACCATCCGTCTTGAATGATAATGACAGGATATTCCATATAAAAAACAGGTAACTCGTGGTAACCAATGATTATACTCGTTATTAAACAGTGATTCAGAAGAACGACTTTAAATGTTATATCATTGATCAAAATATGTGCATTTTATTGTTTAAAGAAGATGATGTATGTATCATTTTTTTTAATATTCGTCGTTTTTTTTTCTATTTTCAGCATGTTCGAAATGTTCTTGTTTGGTCAAAAATTTTGTGTTCACTGCATCGTATACCAAAACTGCCTTAATATCCTCCGAGTACACAGAAAATACAACAGGGTGTGTATCTTAACTTTTAAAGAATCCTAGAATATCTGGGAATTTTTCATCAAGATACATGTATTATAAGAACAAGCAGGCAAGTTAAAGGATCAAGTTTGAGAGGCGCAATTATTTATTCATATTATTCTACAAATTATAACTTTAGATAAATGTGATTAAGTGGTCAACAAGTATCTTTATCCAGTTTTTTAAATATACAAACTCATCAAGATACTTGGCTAATATAATTAAGTACGACATACGAGCGTTCTGTCTCCATCAGATTATTCAGTAACGCTCAAATCAATACTGTTGTAAAGAGTTCTTGAAAAGTGGTGGTCCGAAGGTTTTGACCACCAAATTTGGCAAAGGACCAGCACAATTTTTGCATTTTACAATAGAAATGATAGTGAGGACCAGCAGATTTTCTTCAATGACCATCTGGGAATATTTTTTTTGAGAACTCTGGTTGTAGGGCCAAATCAATTACGAAGTTGGACACCCCTCCACTCCCCCCCCCCCCCCCCCCCAAAAAAAAATCGAATAGTATAAACGTCTAATGAAAAGAGTAAATTTACAGGAGGTAACTGCATCATTGATACTTCATGTGTGCACACGTGGCCACTCTTGATTGTGAAACGACGTTTTTGCCTCAAAATCAATATATATTATGTATATATATTTTGACTTCTTAAAAGGAAATGCAATCTAAGTCACACATGCTTTACATTTACTTGAAATAGCTTTGACGATTTAAAATCATCGTGTATTTTCGAACCGTAAAGTTTAATAAATAGCAGAAGAGATAACTAACGAAATACAGCAACGACAAAAAAAACCGCAATCCGCAATTTAACATTGGTACTTGTACGGAATGACTGGTCCAATTATTTTCAACCTCCACATTACAAATACATTGTAGATTAAATTGTTAATGGTAAATAAAAACGTTTCGACCAAAATTTGTATATTCATTTGTTTATTTTTTAAAACTTTTAATAATTGAAATTGCTAAATGCTTATTTACTCATCTATGAAGTTAAGAACTGTTCCATAAATTTTGTACTGATAATAAACTTGAGAACATCTGGTTAGCTAGGCTTTAAAAATTTATTCAACATAAAAGTATGTTTTTAATATATTACAGGTTGATGAAGTGTGCATGGGTTATAAAAGCTCAGAACAGTAGCCATTCCGTCACATTCAAAATGAGTCAAGTTCTTGCCAGCAAATCTTCATTCTGTGGAGAAGATTATGTTTTCATTAGAGACGGTGAGTCGTCTAAATAAGAATACAGCTCTTGTGCTCCTTAATACGAAAACCTGCTTTTGATCAGTGGAAATAATTATTGTTATTACAAAGTTCACGACTGTTTCCAGTGACAACTATAAAGTAGCAGAAAAAAAAATTACAAACAAACTGTGTTATTCTGTTTGTCTTGTTTTGAGCATCTTTAAAACCAGTACAATTTTGTTACTCCGTTTGGAAAGTGCTGAGATGTCAGATTCATTATATAGATACCTAAAGTAATTAGACTTCACACAATTTAGAGCTTGTACCCTTGTCTGGGCGATTGTCCATCTTTTTGAAATTTGAATTCTTTTAGGTGAAATAAATTTTGATAGTGTCCCATTGGCTGAAAAAAGTTTATTAAATGCTGTCAAATTTGAAATTAGCTCACAAATACTTTAAAATATATTCCTATATATATATATAAAACATATACTTGAACATCAGAAAGCTTTTTATAATCTATAAGTTACAGATGTATATTTATGTTAAATTCCTTTCACAATATGATTCACTTATGAAATATTTTTGGAATTCCTTTAGATTGAGTGCTGTAAAAGGTTCCTTAACACAACAATGTGGATTTAAAGATTTAAACTGTTATAGTTTTTTTTCGGATTTATCACGCATTGATACAAGTATTTTATATATTTATGTTTTATCTAAAAGACAAACATATATACCACCCATAAAGATCAGATAACCTATTTTCTATAGTGCCCTAATTCACAAATCCACACAAAGTCATGTAAATTTGACAAGAACTATATATATATTGTATGAAAATTACACAAAAAGTTGTGTTAGTAATTGGATACTATGTCTTAAACTTTTCACAGGAATACTAATTACGTAAACCGATGTGTTCGATCCGGGGTATTTTTTTTTAGAGTTTTTAAGTTTTAAAGTCGATTTCACGATTTCGTTGATTTTAAAATTTTTAAATCTATGGAATCATGTATTATAAAAATGGATGGAACATCATTTAAGTAAATTATTTAATCTCTGTTGGTGTTCGAATTCGATAAAGTTTAACAAAAGTCTTATTTATACCCTGAAAGGTTAAAGAATACAGGAAAAAATTGACCATCGCTCACACAGTTCAACATTAGATTGAAGTAAATGATAACAGAGATTCCTTATTGAAGCCGTTGTAAACTTCTTAAAAGTATCAAATGTCTCCAATTTAAATGTCAAATGTACACAAACCTGTTTGTAGAGTATTCAACAAAATACTTAAAGTCTACAATGAGTATATATAATAATTTAAAATTACATTTCATTGCGCTTTTCTTTTTAACTAATTCACCGACAAGATGTTGATTTAGGGTCAAGTCGGTTTAGTGGTTTCAGTAAATAAAAAGAGTACAAATAAAGTCTGATTTACAACTCATGATTTACAAAGTTCAACTTACAACTAAAGAAGGAAGTCGTAAATCATAGGGCTGCTTGTTCTTTATAGAAAAATATTTAAAAATCAGTTTGATAAATAATTATTTCGTTGTAAAGACGCCCTTATATCGACAACAAAAATTTAAATCTGATTACGAAAAAGCGCAGTTACCGTGAAATAGTTTTGTGAAAGGAAACGTCCTCAAATAAGAAATATTTGTAGATGAAATAATAAACATATAGAAAACGTTAAAGTATTTCGGAGGATTTACATATATTTAACGATACTATCCATCCTAAACGATAGATATATAAGTACCGTTTCATAAATAAGGTAAGACTATTTATCGTTTATTTTATATGCAAAAAAACTTTTGTTTTACCTCCATAAAGAAAAGAGAACTTATAAAGATAAAGAGTTAAATTCCCATTTTGGTGGTATTTATCCTACAAGAAATTAAAAACGTTTTTAATATTTAATATACATGTATTCTGAAATAATGGTAACGACTATAGTTTGTTTTTTTCAATCGGACTAGTTCTACTCGTATATCACACATGTAAAAAATATAATAAAGTTCGCATTGACAGTCTTCGATTGAATTCTACTCTAGTAGGTGTTGATACAAAACGAAGCAAGGAACATTATGTTAAAACTCTGACATTTTTTTAACAGAAAAGTTTAGTTTGTTATCGCAATAGAACGCAGTCAAACGCACCTTGAGCCTTCCTTCCAATGAGTTCTCTGTTCAAGTTAGTGGCTTGTATTTTGCTATAGAAACTTTACTCGTCTTAATTTGTGATCATTGGTTATCTATTCGTGGTGCAGTTTGTTTTATCCAATATTAATGTTTTCAACCGGTTTTTTTTATTTATCAGAACACAGACTCAAAGGAGTTTAGTCACAATAAGACAATCTATAAGCATTGTCTACAAAGCCCCGTGTTGAATTAAAAAATCGTATACAGGTAAAAGAAAAGACTTTGTGATATTGATTTTCTTATTGGTATAAGTAAAGTGGGATGAGGTGCGATTGTTCACTTATTTGTATGAGTAAGATGGGATGAGGTGCGATTGTCCACTTATTGGTATGAGTAAGATGGGATGAGGTGCGATTGTTCACTTATTGGTATGAGTAAGATGGGATGAGACCAAACACGTCAATGCATGATAATATCGTTCATCACTTTTAGATAAAAACATCTATTAATAATGTATTGTTTACAATGTGGATCAGTGCACAATCTGTAAACATTCTTTAGTTCTAGATATATATCCAGTCTGTGTTATATGTGTTTGTTATAGTTACAAATTATTAACCATATACAGACCGTAAGCTTTCTGATTGATGTCTTTGGTGGGATAAAAATATAAATTTTTGTCGTGGATTTGAATTGGCTATTATTTTTTTTTAGCTTTGAATTGGTTATTAACCACCTGTGCCATTTCTTTACGATCTATTAAGATTACATGCATATCTTGAACCTCGGACTAGATCTGTTTATACATGCCACTTCAAACGAAATTCAAAATGCATTGAAGTTGCTCAGTATGCATTTCATAAGAATTTGATGTGCGTATTATAATCCTAAGCTGTCATGTAGGTGTAAATTCATAACTTTAAGTTCGTTTAGATAAGTTTTACTTCTTGCAAAACAAGTTTTTTTATTACTGTCAATATACAATTTTATATTTAAATCCTCTGAAAGAAAAAGATAGTTTCGTATGATTTTTTTTTAAAAGTGAGTAAAAAGAATTAAGTCTAGCTTTTTTTTGAATATTTATAAATCATAAGAAATATTGATTTAAGAGGATGATTTGATTTAGCATACCAAAAAAGTTGTTAACTTACCATAATATACTAGGTGCGATAATATGACATTAAATGACTAATTGTTAAATCCTCGAACGAAATAACATTGTTTAATAATTTCATGAATATATGGGTCAGTCACAGTATAGACATTACATGTTCAATAAAACAAGACTTCTTGTGAATACCGTTATTTTTAAACGACTTTAAGAGGTTATAACAATATTGTTGGACGTTAAGCAATATATGTTCTGGTCATGTTGGTCCTGGATTACCCTTCCATTTCTTGATATTGTTCGTGAAGTTTATCAAGCCCTATCTTACAATCAATCTTTGACTAAATTTGATAGAACCCTGTTTAATCTTTACGAAAAATTGTTTGTTTGATTTTCTTCCATCAGCAAAGCCCTTGAAAAAAATTGGTACTTGTGAGACAGTAAAGTTAACGTTAGTTTGAAAGTATGCACTTTTTAATATGAAAACTCATTGTATTTATCAATGAGATAGTTGGATACCGAAGACAGCACAAACAGTATTTCAAGGATTTTGTGACTATGTGTGCAAATGTCAAGAAAGATCAGATCTCTTCATCGTGTGACCTCAAATAAGCGAGAGAGCCATTGAATGAATTATTATTTTATTCTTGAAGGTTTTTGTTTGTTATTATGTGGGATTTATATCTGTAAGGGTCAGTTAATTCATTAAGTAAGAAATGTCTGCTACTTCTGTTATGAATGGGTTTTGGTTCAAAACTTGAGAATAAATAACTATTTATTTTACATTGTTTTGTTAGGATTTAACAGTGCTTTGATGTATCTGTTTATGTTTATATTTTGATATTATAGTTCCAAGTTATTTATAAGGAAACTGTTGTGTCTGGACACATAAGTATATCCATGAAAAGGTAGGCATACATGTATATGTTTATGATATACGTAAGACTGGAAACAATACCACAGTAGGGTTGGGTTGAATTGATCTTTATAAGTAAATACGTTTCATTTGGAATCTGTTGGATAGTTATCTCATTGGCAATCATACCAAATCTTCTATCTTATAATGATGCAGATTGTGATTATACGTATAGCAGTGAAACATTGATGTTATTATAATGGCACGCCGGGTTCCACTAGCGGAGCAGTTACCACTGACACTTCTTGAGCACCGGAGTTCACACCGTAGGGTGTTCTGTAATTGATCTCTTCGTCGTTTTTCTTTTTAGCCATGATGTTGTCTGCTTTTATTCAATTTATTGTTATTTGACGGTCCCATTTGTATCTTCTCCCTCATATGCTAAGTCCACATAAATATATGTATATCAAAATCAATCTATGACGTAAAATGATATAAATTAAAGGGTAAGAATTATAACAGTTTTTCTAAAAAAAATACATTACATAAAGTGAAAGACTTTAATAAAGGTAAACATTAAATGTTTGTTAAATAACCAAATATAGTACTTTATAAAAAGAAATATCAATGTATATTAAGTACGTTTTTTTAAATGTACCAAGTTGTCACATAACTCAAAATAAAATGATATTAGATTATAAAATTATTTGATTAGTGGAGTATAATAGAAGGTCCTCCTGTTCCGTTATATCTGCCAAACTTCAATAAATTACTGTACACTGTATTTTAACATCAACAAACGCGTTTGTTTGTTTTAAATGAAGAGTGATTGATAATTAAATTATATTTACTAATTTTAAAAGGCCGGTTGTCACTATCAAAGTTATCTTGGTAAAAGTTTCTTTGACCAGTTAAACTTGGTCTAAGTCATAGGTTGTCACTATCAAGGTTTTTCATCAAAAACTTGGTCAAAGACATTACTGCACTGTGATTGGCTAATTCCCGTCCAAGTCCATCCAAGTTTCAAAAAAAAAAGAAGAGATTGTATTCCATCCGAGTGCGTGAAAATTTTTGATTAAAGTTTTCTTTGATGGTTGTCACTATAAAAAAATCCTTCAAAGACTTTGACTAAGAAAACTTGTTTAAGAAAACTTTGATAGTGACAACAGGCCTTAAGACTCTCCAAATTACACAAGGAATCATGTAAATGTCGTTATTAACTGCATCAAGTAAATGTTCAAGTACAGATATTTCGGTTATTCTGACTAGTGTCCTTTCAATCGTCAATAAACTCTCTGTCAAATATTGTGACAAGGTTAATATCATGGTTGTGTTACAATGTAATAGCGGAATTTACTTCCTGGATTGTAAAAAAACGTACATTTGAAGGTCAGTTTGTCTTCTTTGTCAGTTACAATTTCTATACTCTTTGTAGTCAACAATTATTATTTAATCAAATATAATTTTACTTTTATAATAAAATCATATTAATCAAATCTGGATGTACATATGCATCTGTTTTAGTCGTTACCGTTTTAAAAGAAACGCAATACAGTCAATAGTTTTAATTTGCTTGATAATATTTGTTCGTTTTGCATATTAAATAGAAAGTCACGCGATTTATATTCGAATGCTGACTACCCGTTTCCTTATAATTGCAGATATACTTTTTCTATTTCTGTTATGGCTATATTTTATAAAAACTCAATTCGGAACACCACTTGATAGATATTTTGTTTTAATATTATACATGTACCTGTATATATTATTAAGACACATGTATATTGACCTTTAAATGTCTTTTGGTTTTTGTGTCGTTGGGTTGCTGTATCATTGACGCCTTTTATTCATATACTTTGTACATCAAAATAGCTTTATTGATGTTTGTACCGAAACAAATATAGTTGTTCTATTTAGTCCTGTTTTGGTTCTGAGGGTCTTCAATATTTTATGTATTTTGTTTGCGGAACTTGATTGCGGGAAACGACGGGTTCAACATGGAGAGCTAGATCTGCCTTCCCTTCTGGAGCACCTGCGATCACCACCGGGTTTTTGGTAGGGTTCCTGTTGCTCAGTCTTTAGTTTTCTATGTTTCGGTTTGCATAGTTTACTGTTGTTTGTTGTTGGTTCTTTTTCTTCTTTTGCCATGGGGTTGTCAGTTTAGTTTCGATTTGTGAGTTTGAATGTCCCTTTGGAATCTTTTGCTTCTCTTTTGTGGCATTCCAGGATTATATATCGACATCGTTCTAATGTTTTTAGATAACAAATGACGACTGGGTATTAAAGACGTGTCTTTTTATCCCATGCAGCAGATGTTGTTTTGTATCAACATCTACCAATATACTTTAAACAGCATTTATAAAAATAGATGATCGTTCATTTTGATTAACAAAATGAAAGGAAGATCATTGTTGGATCATGTCTTTAAATCTTTTTAAAAAATATGAAAAAAAACATTGGTGAATAAGACTAAAAAGGCAAGGCGAAATGAAAAGAAAAAAAGCCATACGCAAAACTTTAACACAATGTATCAGTTCTATAAAGTACTTTTTTCTTCAATTTCTCGATCAGGGAGTTCAGGAAGAGGACCTCCATTAGGATACTGGTGTAAAGATGGAACGTACGATACTGAAGTGACGTCATATAGCAACGCCATCTATGTTGAATTAGAAACATATTCAAATGGGGTAGCAGGGTTAATATTTGTGATGTCATTTTGGGAGTCTTCCGTTAGTAAGTATTAAAATATTGATACTAGACAAAACCTAGTTTATAGAATCAGTAACTTAGTCGGAACCAGTATTCAAGCGGTACAGTGAAATCAGGTTTTTTGTATTGTTTCTCTATCACGTATGCACTTGCCTGTCCCAAAGAAAAAAAATCGTCGTTGACCGTCTTATACATTATCTTATTTTTCTTATTTGGTATTCATCTTTGACAATTTTTGTCTAATTTATTCAAAATTTTCAACTTAATTTAATGCTTGACAAATTGTAAAGATGATGATGATGATGAGGATGAATGGCTGTTCAGTAACGTCAAGCGGCAAATTAAATGCATATTCAGGACGAGAACATGTTAATGTGATATAAATATTAATCCCTGCTTTGTACTAAACCGATACGCTGAGTGAGTTAGAAGCGTTTTCCTAAAAACAAATATTCGACACATTTTACTGCACATACACACCTATAACAAAAATAAAATTCGTATGTCATAGTTGAGAAATTAAAGGATGGGCACTGACATGCTCTGGAATATAACTAGTGATAGATTAAAGAGTTTAAAGCTTACAACAAGACGGACGTTATCGTCGCCGGTTTGAGTGTTACCTTTTATCGATGCTGATTGATTGATATTTACTTTACACCAAATGGCAAATATTTCTTAGATGTTAAAAAAAAAGGGGGATTTAAAAAAAGGAAACCAATAAGTTAATCTCTCCTGAGTGGTTTGTCTGACTGGGACTGTCAATAGAAAAAGAGGAGATATTATTAATTCCCTTTTTTCACAATGACTTTGAATGTATATAATATATACAGTATTATTATAAGGAATTTATCAAGTTACATCTTTCATAGTCTCACATACAAAAGTCTATCAGCTGTAGGTCATAATTGAGTTGAATTTTGTCTGAAATATCTGCTGTACACCTTAAAATGCTTTACATTTTAGGAAAAAGTGCAATTTTCGCTAACAAATGGTCCCATAAATTATGTTTTCAGTAAAAATAACTTTTCCGACAAATATTTTACAATAAAACGTCACAATAATGTCATATGAAAGAACAACAAATTACGGTAAAGTCAAAATGCGTGAAATTGTAAATTTATCATCAGCATTTACTTCTTTTTATGACGTGTTTGGTATCAAAAGTCATTATTTCTTATAATCGATTAAGTACAAAGTGTTTATTAAGCAATAAGTGCATTACGAGTTTGGAACTTTTTCGCTAATTTTATTAGAGACATTTGTTAGTCGTGTTAGTGTTACTATGACAAGTTTCTTGCCTAAGATTAAGATTAAGTCGTGATTATACCTTTTGACAACTGTAGTAATCAATTACGTAGCAAATACATGTATTGCCAATTAACACATCTTTAATTAATTAATCGGCTTTCGATACCGATTTCGTAATAGTAATTAAAATAAAATTTGTTTCTTTGCCCCTTTTTCTGTTTTCATTGGTCACACCACTTCTAGGTTCATATGTTTCAAAAAAGTTAATTTCGCCAAAAAAAAAAAAAAAGGTTGAAATTTACGAGTAAGGACGGGTTATGTGTGTTGCCATCAATACTGTTCTGTAAATACGTGTTGTGCACTGACTGTATATATGTTTGATATTTGCACTGGACATTAAGCAACCAACAATCAACTATATATATTTGATGGAAATATAAACTATGCGAACGTTCATTTATTCATCTCCCGGTATGGACCCTTTATCGTCTGAAATTGAACAAGGTTTGTTGGAACATATAACACTGCTATTTACTGGTATCTAATGATTGACTAGAGTAACCAAAAAGCGTAACAAAATTAATGATTAAAACAACCAATAGTTTTTAATCACACAAATCAACCACACTTTTTTTTTATCAGTGTCACTTAAGATGAGATTAAAAAATACCCAAAACTTATAAAAGTGTTTATGGCGAAATAGATCAACTTTGTTTTTATTATAACGTCGTAGACTAATTTGATCATCCTATATCATCCTTTTTTAATAAACTATGAAAATAACATATTGTTGAAATGACATGGGAACTTTCCTATTTTTGTAAATATATTGGACAAGTAATACATGTAGTTCTTAACGCGGTACCACATCTCTTTTGTTACATTCGGACTTCTCCAAGAATACCCATTAACGACTGGACGTAACTACGTGTCCGGCATCGCTAAAACTCTGGACCATCCCGATATTTTCAGCACAGGTTTAACTTCAGAACGAGAGAATTTCCAATGACCATATGTCTATACCCCAATTATGTAGTTTATAGTGATATCTGCGGCATAATGTACTGATAAAACAAATTCTAAAACTATTAACCTAGATATTTCATAATCATAATGTCAGTATTATTCTGTACATCAAAAGAGCGGAAGAAAAACAATACTTATTGTCAAATTCAACAATCGCCATAATTCATTTTATATAGTACCTTTTAATGATTTTCATACATAAATTAGATTTATGAATTTTTCATAATAAGATTGTAAGAGATTATTGCATAATTTTCTAGTACAATGACGGATATTGTCACAATTCATAAGTGATATTTAATGACATAATTGTTAAACTTCGCACCATAACAATTATTAACACTTACGGTACATAGGACGGAACAATATGTCTTCGTGGGACGATTGTCATATTATTTCTAAACTTTAACGCCCCATATTAGCAGTGGTATGAAATATTCAAAAAAAAAAGATAATGGAACATCGGACAATAAATCTGGAGCACATAAATAGCAGGAAAATATCATTAATGTCAAATTCAACGCGATATCCATCAATTTTTTTTTCAAATTCGTTTTGGTTAAGAACGCCAATATCCATCATTTTTATAACTCTTGCATTGTTGCAACTTTCTGGAAAAAGACACATAATTGAGTATGAATACAGATTGACGTGGGAATATTTTGCTTTTGTTTTAAAAAATACCACGTTACTTTCTTTCTGATTGTTGATGTATACAAAAAATGTTGTTTCTTCGGAACAAAACCTTATAGATTAAATCCATCACTTTGAATAGTCAACCAAAAAATATTCAATATGCACCGAAACTAAGAACTTTACAAAATAGCAATGGCACGGAGTTTGGTTATTTTTTTGTATTAATATTTATGGAGGGCTAATTTCAGCATAAAAAGAAGTTCAATATCGAAGTCAATGCCATATGTTAGTATTATAAAACAGGCATGTTTCAGATATAGTTTAGTAGATGATTTTAGGGAACCGTTGGTGTCATGTTGTAAGGCAAAATATCTGTCCCAAAATACCCTCATTTTCAATGGCAGTCTAAACTTTATCGTCCTTAATTCCGGGTCGACCTACTCTGGTAAACCTAACTACAGGATTTTTTTTTTATTAAATTGGTTTGACTTTTTTGTCTTGAATATACCTGAAATATTTGTCACTGGACATAAAGCAAACAACAATCGACAATTCAATAAAAATTGCACACGTTTTGTATAGCATGTTTCGACTTAAATGTAAAAATGATGTTAAATAGGTTTTGAGCAATTAAAAAGCACAATAGGTTTGATTTATGTTTTTGGTGCAATTAAAAGAAAATAAATCTCTATTACGCAATGCCTCAATTTTATTGTATTTTGATCAGATGCATATACTTTGCGATGTCTCGAGTAATTGTTCCATCGATAACTTTTCCAGGAAAGTTGACCTTCCGATTGTGTAATGTTAAAACAGATGTGCTATTATTTGTCATTACGTTAACGCGGTAGCTTATTTCATTGACATTTTAATAAAGAATGAGGCCTTATCATTGCCAATCCCTGACAATCAAGTAGAATCAAATATAATAAATAGGAGAAATAAAGGACTATATACGCAACGATTACATATGCTTTCAAAAACAATATTATTTTATATTTGCCTTGTGATTACGTCGATATGTGTTTGGTGAATGGCGATTTGTTGTTTTTGAAGGCTTCAATTGGTTGGTTTCCATGCAAGCTCTCATTAATTTGACTTATTTTTTTAACACTTAAGTAAGTGAGATCTCTTTAATGAAAGAGGACTACGAACGTTAGTTAAGGTGGGCCAAAATCTGTTCTTAGTACAAATGTTAAAGTTATAATGTCTCAACCTAGACGTAAATGGACGTTTTCTGGTATTATCTGTTGAACCTTTACTTAAAAGTTGATAAGTTGAGTGCAGATAAGTAATATCATCTGTTTTTGATTTGCCTTTTTCCATTACCAATCCGAATTATATAAACAATCTCTATTATGAGAGCATTCAATGAAAACTCATGTCCGAATATTGTTCAAATTTCATGTAAAGAGTTCAAATATTATAAACGTTGAGTTGCTCATATTTGTAATATCATAATAAAAACTGTTTTCGATGATCAATCAAATAGTTTTAACGAAAACCAAAGAGTAAAAACATTACATGTAAATTGAGCTTAAATAAATTCGGCTATTATTATTAGGTATCTTTAAATCATATAGCTACTCCCGTGTATGGGTGTTTATACATCCTTGGCTGTCTTTGTTTTTTGGGTTGGGCGTTCATGATGAAGGTAAATCCAGAGAATTGCTTCGGATGCACGTTTTCATTTCCAAGGGGCAATATATAGACAAAGACCAGAAAGAGACGAACGAACAAATAACAATGACAAAACTAAAGATTGGACAACACCGACCCAGCTGAAATTAAATGTTTTTTTAAAAGATTATCTTCTCAATAATGGCAACCATCGCGTTACTTATGAAAATAAAAAAAATCCCATAATAAGTGATAATGTATGCTACTCAAATGAATTAGCATAAGAAGTGTATATTTTGAAATACAGTTTCGTTGTTTTGTGGGATTATATATGATATTTTAAGTGCACCAGAAGGTTTCAAAGGGTAATTTGGGGGTTCTAGTTTCAGAAAAGTGGGTTTAATGATGTAGAAAATATGATTGTCACAATTGGTTACCAAAACTTATTAATCATATTAATAATATGAGTTGAAATGCATCGTTCGTGTTGGGTATCTGTTTTATCATGTTTATGGCTCATCCCCACTATAAATAGATCGAAGGGAGCTTGTCGTTTGAATATATAGATTTCAGTTTATGTTGTGTATCTCCCCCACTCTATTAACGAAACCTTTTCAATATTGACATTTATTAAAAGATGTTAAAGATGTTATATTTGAAAAAGTACTTAAAAACTGATTCACGCAACGTTTTAATGATAATAGAGGTGGTATTAAAAATTCTCCAGCGTCAGTAGTAATGATTAATGAATTAATAAAGAAAATTATCAAGTTTGTTTAACGTGAAAACGAGCCATTCCAACAATTATATCACGTTCGGATTGTCGTTGCTGGGTAAACAAAACACTATTAAAATGTTTTTGTTTCTTGCATAAATCGAATCGGATAATAGAAAACGTGTCATGCAATATATTTACAAAAAGTATCGCGATTTAATCAGCTGTTTTTTATATAGTGGTATTATTACAAAATTTCCAAATACATATTAAAAGTAAGAACATTTTAAAGTGTGTTAATGAGAAGAACACATGATTCTTCGTCCCGTCATAGATATTTATAGACATCTTTTCTTGAAACTTTATTGTTTAACCAAAAAGTGCTTTACACGTATGTACCGCTGTCGCAGACTTGAATTTGTTATGGTATGGTGTTTTTAATTGTTATCAATACAGTGATATCATACTTTAACTTTGTTTAAACCTGTTTATTTACTTTTGACTTTAATTATTTATCCCTTGTAATTTTTTATTAACTGTGTATTTGCATTCAGGTGTCACAGGTCAAATTTATTCGTTCATTGTGTGTTTATATACGTTTTTTGATTGAGTTAAGCCTTCCAATTGATATTTTATAGTGTGTTTTTCTATGTTGTGATGTTATACTATTGTTTCAGAAAAGGGAGAAGGTTTGGTACCATTAAAACGTTTAATCCCGCTGCAAATGTTTGCACCTGTCCTAAGTCAGGAATCTGATTACAGTAGTTGTCGTCTGTTTATGTGGTTCATACGTGTTTCTCGTTTCTCGTTTTTATATAGATTAGACCGTTGGTTTTTCCGTTTGAATGGTTTTACACTAGTAATTTTTTGGGGCCCTTTATAGCTTGCTGTTCGGTGTGAGCCAATGCTCCGTGTTGAAGGCCGTACCTTGACCTATAATGGTTTACTTTTATAAATTGTAACTTGGATGGAGAGTTGTCTCATAGGCACTCATACCACATCTTCCTATATCTAAATATCGAAATAACACGTGTTCTCTTTCTAACACACAAACGTTAAGGAACGAACAAAGAGCAGTGAAATAATTAAAGTAAGAAGATAGACTATGTGCTGTATTTCCTGTTATAGAAGACTGAACCTTACGTCATGGTTCAATGTCTAAAAAGTACTGAAAGATATGAATTGAAACAGCAATGAATATGCAGTCAAGATTGTTATTATTTTATAATTTCAAATGTATTCATTGACTATACTTGTTTTCAATGTGATTGCTTAGTTTTATTAAATATAGGTACCTTAGTTTCACCTCTGTGAACGTATTTAAAAAGGGACAAAAAGCAAGTTCGTAATTGTATATTTAATTCTTTGAATATAGAAATCAGTCCAATATAACCCGAATAATTCAGTTCGTTTCCGTGATCGACTCTCCCACTCGCGAGTAACGTAGCCATCGTAGAGCAGCGGAAAGTAACAACTGAATTATTCGGGTTAAGTCCAATATTCAATATTGAAATTTACTTGTACTTTCAACACCCTTTACAAATTTGAAAACACAACATGACTTGAAGCATATCGCGCAAACATCGGCAGTACAAGAAGGGTTTCACATTAATGCTACATATATTAACATAAAATTATTCCTTTAAATGTTCGATTTTATAAGAAATATAGTAACTCGCAATTAGAAAGAATGAAATATTAACTGACCATTTAATTTTATATGATTCTACATATTGTGTAACGTCACGGTAAAACGGTAAAAGACTGGAGGTCGACTCATTTCTGTGATATAACAACTCCCATGTGGCTGATATGTATATAAGCTCGATTTATTTTACATGTATATTTATGTGACAAAATGGCTTTGTCTGTCTTGATGTTATGTTCTTTGATTGTCCCCCTAGTATCTTTTTGGGTTTTGCTCATTGTCGTAGTCCGTACGATGACTTATTATATAGTTGTTAACTTCTATGTCATTTGTTCTCTGATGGAGAGTTGTCTCATTGGCAATTATACCCCATCTTCTTATTTTTATATGATATATACTGGGCTTAACAGCAGAATACCTACTTACGAATTACGCAATAATTTGTGTTCTTCTATAGACTTTTCACACTTACTTTTTTTAGCAGCCTTTAAAATCATATTTGGACAATATAGTTTTTACATACTAGTAAAGCATTCAATCATCCATTATGTCAGTAAGTCTGAAAGCCTGATGAATATTGTTCAAAGAAAAAGATTTAAATCATAAATGAACACTTTAGAGGCTCTTGAATGCATGAAAAGAATGCATTTCATTGCACAAAACATGTTTTATACTTCTTTCAATAAAACAATTTCTAACAATTTAATCGAATCATTAAAGTTTCATGGAATCGATATTCACTTAGAACATATAAAACCACTGGTGTTCAATTTGAATATCATTCATTAGCCATTTACAAAATGAAGTGTATTGTTTGCTTATAGATTTTGCTAAGGTGATAGAGAATAAAAATCAGTATATAAACAAAAAAATCGTGACGTCATCAATCGTTTTGCAGTAAAAATGTTCATAGATATCGTTGTTGCATTTTATTCCTTGGAAAGTATTTCTATGTTGTTTATCAAATCCTGTTGATGATAAGTCTGTATTTCACATATATACCAGGAAAAAAGTGTTTTCATAGTAGTAACGGCGCCAGTTTCCACAGATGGAATCTTTAGTTCTACTGACACGAATAAAGCAGTCTTTGCAGACGTAACTACTGCTGGAGAGCTGGAAGTAAATGGTTCAACTGACATCGAAACATATTTTTACAACAAAAAACTTTTGCACGATATTTTGGAAGACAATGTTGAATCGGAATATGATAAAGTGACCGATACCATTATTACCTCCGAATCTGAAATTTCAGACTTCGAATTAACATCTGAATTTTCGGACTACGAATTAACAACTGAAAATATTTATTCTGTTATTTCAGGTTCAAGTGTTCAGTATGGGCCAATAGAATATGGAATAGCTAATTACGTTTTACTAGCCTTCAGTGTTCTCATAGGATCTCTGCTTCTCGGTGCTGTTGTATTCCTTATCTATAGAGAATATAAGAAACATCAGGCCGAAAAAGAAATGAAATTCAGAGAAAAACTTCTAATGAGACGAACAGGAATAAGTGGTCGTAGTGGTGGAATAATAAATGACGATTTTCGCCATGACAGCGTAAGTGACAAAAACACGTCATTTATATTTTTGTCTCCGACGCCGACGTCAGAAATTAGCTTGTGAATATTCAAGGATGAAGGACACTTAACGTAGAACACATTTGTATGTATGTATATATGTATTATTTGAATTTAAATGCTAACATAATTTCATTCATGATTGTAATGTGAAAATAAAATACCATTATTTCCAGAAGAACTTCTGTATTAAGAGTTGAATAACCACTATTAGAGATGCTTGTTCACATAAAGCCCGGCCCAAACCATTTGTGAATCATTCTGAGCATGCATAAAATATTTGCCACTGGACGTTAAGCAACCTACAATCAATCAACCAACCAATTTGTTAAGGATGTAGTCAGGTGAAATTAAAAAAATCTGGATTTAAAATTGATACCATAAACCAGAAGAGCATAAGTTAAGCAGAAAAATAAGCTAAAATATTGTTAGGTTACGGAACCCCCTTTCGAGATATTTATTTATTTAAGGAATGACTGTAATATTTCTTCTGTCTATTCGAAATAACATAAAAAATGTGGTGCACACTGAATAACCCGCGTAGAGGGTTATTTAAAAGTGTGCACCATATTTTTTATGTTATTTCGAATAGACAGAAAAAATATTACAGTCATTCCGTATAATTTAATTCTAAAAAGGAGTAAATCGTTATGAAAACGTTGATGACGTCACGGTCAAATGACAAAATTGTGTCTATGAGCTGATAGACAAAACACTTTCAGCCAATCAGAAGACGTGTTACATCCAAAATTAAATTATATAAAAATGGATGGAAAAGGCGGATTCGGATTTTTACTTTATATTTAGCATTGGCATTATTTGGGTCTCAAATCGTAAGAAAAGAAATCTAGAATCTGCTTAAATTTTGGTAAATGACCTTTTATTAGCTATTGAAGTCTTATATGAAAAAGTGGGTGATATGGGGCAAAATATTTTGCCCTGTATCGTAGGAAAAAACCCAAGGAGTCCGAACATCTGAAAAAACATTCCTAAACCTGACATGACTACATCCTTAAAACTCAAACTAAGCAAGTGATACAGTTCTTACACTCATGGGGTCTCTGAAGTGTTGTTTGAACCAGTTTGAAGCTGTTTTACTTTCAGACTGCATGATAAAGCATCATCCCTCCTCTGTCCATTAATTATAGACAACATGAATGAATACAGTCATATTTGTATATAAAATTTCATTTTTTTTATGTTACATGTTACCCTGATGGTAATTCTGGACTTAGTCACAGAGGACGACTTGAAGTCCTCACTACAGTAGTAAATTCTGTATAAATAAGTCAATATTAATAACCAATATTCTTTCTTGTCTGTCATTACTTTCGCTTTGCGGAAATTTTCAAATCCGGTTTTTTTCGAGGGTTTGTATGTGTTTAGCAGATAACCGATATGGTTTTACCTTTGTACACATGTTCCATCAGTAATATTGGACTAGCTTCCTTTGTCTGGTTAATGTTCTTTTGTGCATGCCTTCTCGTTGCTTAAATAAACAAAAGTGGTAGATCTTTGGTAGTTTCTGTGATTCAGTTTGAGGTGATTTCTGATAGTTTGACGTATTGTACAGACATATGTCTGACTACATTAATCTAGATGTCTTTTTGATATATTTGTCTTTGGGTTGCGATTTTTATACGTATATCCACATCCCATGTTAATCAAATTTAATTTCCTTTGTCTTAAAATTCAAATAAACAAAAATGCTAAAAATTGTATCGGTGTGACTATGAAAGAAAATGAAAATCAGAGGACACATGCTTGATTAATTGATTAAATGTTGGTGTTAAACTTCACTTCCAGCACTATTGATTATATCGTGGAGGTCAGTTTTATTGGTGTAGGAAGCTGGATTGCCCGGAGAGAACCACTGACCATCGACAGGAAAGCTGACAATCCTAGTCAATTAAGATTGGAGTCAAACGCATCTGCCACGTGTGGGGTTCGAACTCACATCCTCAGTGTTTACTAGTGATACAGTAAGTTAACTACTTAGACCACTCGGCACACGGTATTAGGGAGTATTTAGAGGTTATACTCGATGGATCGGAGTCAGAATAATGTGTTCTGGTAGGATGGCATGTCTGGCTGTAGAGGTAGCACGGTAGTATTTGCATTCCAGAATTTAGGTTGCTCTTTTGTGTACCACTTAAGTCAATGTATCTGAACATTACGATTGGACAAAAAATACAGTATCAACTGGACATACTTTCCCAAACTGAGGGATGAATCAGGTGTAGAAAAATATGAAATAATTTTACAAACAGATGAAAATGAATTTTTGAGAATTTAAAAAAATTGTGTATTAACTGCATGATAAAAGACCTAAGAGCACTAGTGGCCTTAGGTTCTTAAAGATAGCAAAAAAAGTAAACGGCCATGATACATATTCAAATTCATTTCTGAATAGTAAAATGAAAGTACTTCAGTTAACTGTGAATGTAGAATTTTTGGCAGTCTTAGAAAGTGGTGAAAATTCTAAATAAGGCTATCATTATCCCTTACGGGCCAGGAAATACTACCGTGCCACCTAGACTGTTAACTTGTGATATCGCACATAAAATCTAATTCAACTTGTAGGTCTACTACAATACAGGGAATATATGCATTTCATTAACATGTTAATATTCTGAATATGCAAGTTATATTTGCAGCTGAGACGTTAAAAATCAATCAATCAATCAATTAATCAATCAATCAAACAATCAATCATACAATCAATCAATCAAGCAAGCAATCGATCAATTATAATTGTCTTTTACACTTACCAATTAACACAAAAGTAAACTTATGAATGAACAGCATAGATAACTAAAGATTTCGGAAGGATAAGAATTGCCTGCAGCGTAAGTAACACGTGTCATCAACTAATCAAACCCAATATGTCAGAAAAAATATAGTTCGATTGGCCATTGTACGAAAAGACGAATTCAAAGAATAAAATTGAAAATAGTATCTGTTATTTACAAAAATTATATACAGAAAGAAACACAACTGAATATGACTGTTATGAGTTAACTTATGAAAAATGTAAAAATAAATGACTAGTTAGAATAGGAGTGACCACACAAAAATAGTTTTAACACTGCGAGTATTACAACAATAAAGGGTTAGTTTGGTTCCTTATTTACAATAGGTGCAGTATCATCTTCAATTTTAGAAGATTCATATATAAAGTTATCATTTTCACCAACAAAAGTTGTCTCATCTTTTTCAAATTTTGCTTTTTTAATTTTTTCGCCCGCTGCGTTAGGTATGCTTCCATTTTGTTCCGCATCATCTTTTTTTCTTTTTTCTTTATCGTTGTCAAAACTCGAATTTACAATCGGTTCAGTGTCATTTTCTATTTTTGTTGACTCATCTATAAATTGATGTTCATCTTCAGCAACTAAAGTTGTCCCGTCTTTTTCAACTTTCATTTCATTTATATGTTCTTTGTGGTGGTCATCTACATTAGGTAGGATTCCATTTTGTTTTGTATGATCATTAGTTATCTCCCCCTTATCCTGATTAAAACCCCCGTCTTGTGACATAGTATCAGGTTCATCTTGACTTGCAGTGTTTTCAAGTTGTTCAAATATATCACGAATTCGTGTGGGTTCCGGTGTTGTCATACCATTTTCGCTATACATTGGTAAACTTATGTTATCTGGATCACCTTGATTAATAGGACGTTGCGGACCAATTGTTTCTGTGTCTGATTCTAAATCCATTTCGTATTGGAACCGTTGCTGAATAGCATGTGCAATATCTTCTTCCGGTAATCCAGGAGCTATCGTACCACCAAGAGTTGTCCCTCCGTCGCAATCAGGTATCGGCGAAGGGCCAAATCGAAATACGGCGATTTCACTTAACGTAGGATATGGTGAATACGGCGAAACAGCACCACAGCGACTCATTGAAGACCCCACTCGATCAAAATGGTCTATAGGTGGCGCTTTTACTGTCAGTGAGTCTGGTCTGACTTTTTTCATCTGTTTCTTCTTTTTCCAACAATAAAATACGATGGAAAAAACTCCAATCAAAAGTAAAATGACAACACAAATAGAAACAACTGTAGCAGCACTGAATATGTTTTCTGGAGTTATAACAGCTGAAATAGAATTTAATAAAACATAAAAAAGAGGCGAAATATACCAAAGGGATATTTAAACTCTTAAGTCCAGGTGTTCCAATAATAAGTTCACACGGGAAATTAAACACTCTAACATAGTCTAGTATTTATTAATTGTAAATGGTATACAAATGTAATTTGACACTTGCACAAGATATATAACAAGAGTGTTCCAATTTTCCCATTGTGAACCTGTTTTTTTCTCAGTAATTGAATACCCTCTGCACTTAAAATTCAAATTGATACGTTACTCTTGTGTATGTCACACAGTCTTTATAAAGAGAGATATGCTTTTAGTGCTAAATCTACTCCAAAAGCAGTATGAGGAAGAACGAATACATAAAACCATGAATTGGTTGTCCTAGACGGTGAGTTTTTGTCTTAAATTGTCCACAGTCTTAAGATTTTACCGATTGTGTCTTTTTATCACTGTAATACTTTGTTAGCGTCTGAATTCGCATGTTGGATGATTCATGCATAAACAAATGTGCTTCTCTGTCGACGCATCCAGCCTTATTCGGATTCCCCTAATTGTTTTTAATTTGATTTGTATTTCAAAAGTTGTTTAGCAGATTTGAACATCGGAAGCTACTGTTGCACATTATTTACAAAGCACGGCCATGATAAACAATTGAATTAATAGATACAAAAAATATAAAATTATACAATAAATAAATGATAATATCTTTTTAATTGTAAAAAGCAAATGAAAAATGAACACACCTTGGCAACATAACAAGTTTTATTTATACAAATTAATAGTTTAATAACTTTACTTTAGATTGTTTTATTGATTGTATCTTTCATATATAAAAAAAGTATATCGATTCAGAAGGACAACACACCTTACGGTGGTACCAAACACCTTGACTAAAATTAATTTGGCTCGTTTAATTTTCATAAAATTTTGACAAAATATTCACTTTGACCCTTTGACATAAATACAAAAATTTAAAAAAAATTGAACCACACACTTTATCGGAAATATTTCATTGGATATATAGCAGTTTGACAAACACTAATTTTTATCATTGAGAAGCTTAATATTCCCTTAAAAATAAAACGTGATTAAAACGTTCAGCTGATTTTTACAGCGTTATTTCCCTGTCGTGTTATGTACCACCTTAATTAGCAAATTAAATCAATAAATCAATCTCTAATTGGTTTCTATAAATTAGAATAGCTAGTTTAAAACTTATAATTATTCAAACTAAGTCTTATACGGGTTTTAATGTTTTAGCCAGTTGGTTTTTGCATATAAACCCGAGTTATTTCAGATACACATGTCGCACCCTATGAAATTGGTTTACGAATATACTTTATTACAAAAAGCCAGAAGTCAGTTAAAATGGGAACGACCTGGCTTAGGAAAGAAACATCCATCACTGAACTCGGTATTCGATTGCACTTGTATAATTCAAAGGATCTGAAAATAAATATACTTACGACACGTTGCTGAAAAAGATAAAATACGTTGAATATAATATTATCAATCGTGAGTAGTTTCAACTACTTCCATATACATATATTGCACAATAAAAGTAATACCTGACGAAGTTTGACTATCAGAATTTATATGAATTATCACATATCATTTATTTTGTCATTCGTTTCTCTTTGTAGCACATGAGATCACTCAGTTCTTGGTCGGGTTCGGGTTGCTCAGTCTTAAGTTTTTTATGTATGTTTTAGTAGATTATTGATCGTCTTTTCATTGCTTTTCGTTTCTGCAATGATTTTTCCTCCTCTTTTTCCTGACATAATTTTATGATAATTGAATATAACGGAACAGCTTATGCAACATCAATAAAAAAGATACCCAATCTATAAATCAATCTATAAACAAGTATTAACACACCAGTTTATACAACATTTATTTTCGATGTGAAGAAACTATATTTATGTGATATTCCCTTTTAGAAACTTTAAAATATCACTCCGCGGCACATATCGTTGTAAAAAAAAAATCCAAAGATCCTTTTGCCAATGTCTATTATATCTACTTTGTTTTCAATTTTTTTGTATAATGACCTTCGTTAACCTTTAACCTTTTGAAAGGTTCATGACTCGCTTATTGTGGTCCAAAACTGTGCCGTTGTAACATTTTAACAGACAATTGGCTCGTTGGTCCTTATGTTGAACACAAAAAAGAAGGACCGAATTCAAAACAATGTTAACTCTGCCATTGGTAGTCGTAATTGATCATTTGTTCATATTATTTGTTTTCATACTGCAGCCCTAAAATGTGTCATTTTAAAAAAGAAATTGGAATATATTAAAAAATCTAGATATGTGGTATTAATTGCTTTTTAAATTTTTATCATATATTCTTACGGTTGAATTTTATTTCCATATATCAAATTATAAAACCAAATTTAAGTATAACGAAGGACCAGTTTATTAATTATTCAAAACAGTACCTTTTTTGTGGAAATATTGATCAATATTCAAATATGCTCTCGACGCGTTATAGCCTTTCTGTGCTTAGGCGACGTATTGTTAATATTATTCAGTCATTGTTTGTTAGGGTTAAGCTTTTGTTTATTTTATTTAATCTTTTTAACACTTACATGTCTGAGTAAGGGTTAATAAAGCTCCATGAGTGGCGTAAGCAGTAGAGACTTGGTTCTGCATACATGCCTGTGGATACTGTGTTGCGGTGGCTGTTGCATTACTAATAGAAGATATCGACTGAAAAATGATTTCTATAATATTTATGAAATGGATATTTCTCACGTTTCTCAATATCTATAAGGCCAAAGTTGTGTTTTTTGTTTGTTTTGCACCCACCTCTTGTCTGTATATTTGTGATCCTTAGAGTTGATAACATAGCCAAACATAAGACTGATAAAAATCAATCAAATAGGTTTAATAAGAAGACATTCGAACTTTTAAAATGACAGCCATAAATCATTAATTGGTTCATTTTAAGTGCATTCTATATCGACATGTAGTTTGTCAGATAAAATCATTAAACAACAATGATTTTGATGTTAAAAAATGTCATCATCCGTTTGTTTATGAATTTGCGTATTCAGTTTTTTCGGTTATTTCTGTAAAAAAAGAAGAGACATGGGTTAAATAACTTATGTAAAATTGACTTTGTTGTCTCCATTTTCTCGCAATTCATAGTATCTTGCTAAAATTGCAAAAAGAAAGGTAGACGTGCTTTTATTAACTGAACATACCTGTTTTTTTCTTTGAGTTAATTAAGAAAATATCATATACTAGTATGTACGGAAAAATAAAAACCTTCACTTAAGACGGCGATATCGTCCTGAATATGCATGACATATTTGCCACTGCACGATAAGCTAGCAACAATAAGTTTGTCTTGATCTTTCAATATTTACATGATTTGTTTGAAATCTGAAGACAGTAGTTTGTCATGACTGTAATTGATATTTTACCTATGACATTCCGTGTAAAATAATCAAGTAAAAAATAATGTCAAGTTATTTTTTTTTCATATTTTACAAGTCGAGTTTCAATAGGACTTGGATACATTGTTTATTAAAGATACTCTAGTCTTATGTACACTAATACATCATTTACTTTTTGTTGAAATCGTAAGCCGGTTTATATTGCAAAAATGTAAAGACTTGTAGGAACAGAACGCAAACGGGAAATCAAAATTACTTGATTTACATTACTTATGTAACATGTGAATCGAAATTACTTACGTTTCATGAAAATCGATATTACTTACGTAAAATGTGCATCGAAATTACTTATGTAACTAGAAAATCAAAATTTCTTACGTAACATGTGAATCGAAATTACTTACGTTACATGCAAATCGATATTACTTACGTTACATGAAAATCGATATTACTTACGTTACATGAAAATCGATATTACTTACGTACATGTAAAATGAAAATCGAAATTACTTACGTAACATGTAAATCGAAATTACTTACGTAACATGTAAATCTGAATGTTGTTAACTCATCAGGTACGGAACTGTCTGAATTGTAAACAGTTACATATGTGTTGTTTTCGGTTGCGACGTAATACACACAATTTAGCGTGCCCTCCGCTGAAAAAGAAAATCGTTAACATCAGTGCAAATAAGACAATCCATCAATCAAAATTCAAACGAATTTGATAAAAATCGAATATCAATCAACCAAACAAACATAGTGTATGTAATCTATATCCGTGTATAACGTTTTGTATCAATTTACCGGCCCAAATGTTGTTTTTTTTTAACATTTTTTCAAATGTTATAAGTAAAACTTTCAATATTGTTGCTCACGCAAATTTACTTGAAATTGAACAAAAACACACGATGGAAAAAACCAACAACCCATGACAATGGCAAAACTGAGAGTGCAAAGTAATTGACAAAGATGAAGAACGCTTACCTCATAAACTGATTTAACGCACTGAAAATGATTAATATTTGGTAAAATTATTCGCAGGGATTGCCGTTGGTTTATTCACTTTGTATTTGTATAAGACCGCTCCATTTCTGTGCGGTTTAGTCTGTTGTGTTTTAAGAACATAACTGACCAATTAATTGTCTTCTTAATTTCGTCCTGAATTTTCATGAAATATTTGTAACTGGACTTTGAGCAAACACCACTTGATCACTTGATCATTGTCTTGTCTTTATGATTGATATATAGAATAAGTAGAATGTAATTCGCTACACAAAATTTACTTGAAATTGCATACTGCTTCACAAGTTTCATAAAAAAGCGACCGTAAAATTATAATGAATACATAAAATAAGCATCATTTATCTTCATACAATGTCTTTGATGTATCTATGAATACCTAGTCACGTCCGCTCTAGCTGATTGAGAAAGTTTAACTAAATGACAGTGCATATAAGGGAGAACTTGGTTCACGAAAGCCTCGTCAACATTTTTTTTTTCTGATGGGCGTACGTTCGGCTTTTTTGGATGTATAAATACCCGACTGTCACGTCCGATAAGGGACGTTAATTCCAAGGACTATGGAGTTTTGAACAGAAAAAAAAATGACACAACAGTCTACATGTATTTACCCACGACGTTCTTAGTAATCGTGTAGAAATATAACGATCAATCACTTATTTTATAATTATATAACATGAAACATTACTATGTATCAGCAGAAACTAACAGAACTAGATGATCACTGATTAAATATACTTTAAAATTAAGAACAAGAGTCTTAAAAATTACTGGAAATTTTGTGTCAGTCATTTTAGAAAAAAATATTCTAAGCTTTAAAGAATCGCATATCTTTAAATGCTGTTTCTATCGAATGCTTAAAAACATTATGGAACTGACTACTGCAGGAACATTGCTGATATAAAGAGTTGTCTCCCGTTATCAATGCCTTTCCCCTAACGTATATTTAATATTTGCATTGAGAAAACCAAATTACAACGCTTTTATTGCATGCTTACATGAATATGCTTGAACAGCTGAACATAATGTGTAATTATAGACAATTTGGCTTTCTTCTGTACACGATTCCATATAACTGTTACTGGTGCACTGGTTACCACTACCAGAATCAAACTCATAGGTAAACTTGCCGAGGAAATCCGAAGGGCATGTTATTGACGCCGAAGAAATGCTTCCTGTAAAACATTAAGATTCTTAATAAAAAGTATATTAGGGGTATACGACAATATCATAGCAACCCCCCTTTTTAAAAAAGAACCAAACTAAAACTTAAACATAAAAAAAACTCTTGAAAGATATTAAGAGGTCATCACACGAATAAGTTACAATAGTCTCTATGCGATATTTCAAACTCAGTATAAGAAATAGAAAATTGATATAGTTGCTATCGTTTATAATGAGAATTGTTTTGAGGAAGCTCTTTGTGATACACAAAGCTCTGTATATAAAATTATACAAGGGATGTTATTCTTTTTTTCCCGTTTACAATACTTCCATTTGTCCGGAATCATAATGAATCCTCAAAATGTCAAGGTCAATTTAAATATATTTGAAAACGTGTAATCCAATTACCGTCTCCACTGTAAATATTTACTTCCATTTAAATTCTATTTAAGAAACACTTTATATGGGAGACAAATCATTTGTGATTACAACATTCACAATGGAAAGAATATGATTATCTCCCTTTGAATATGCTAACTATATTTATTCAGGTTGAATGAGAGACTTATTTTTCATAAAAGTCATTCCTATCAGTATTTTGAGGTTTATAGATTAGATACCAGTTTTATCTGCCGTTTAAACTTTTCCCGAAAGTTAAAAAAAATGGACTTCAATAAAACTTCCTCAATTCTTTTTTTTCTTCTTCGATGCAGCTTATACGGTATTGATATTTCTAATCTTTCAGTATAATTCTGGTCAGTCTTTAGCATTTCACAATGAATATATATTAATATAAAATTTGCTCAAACAGAAGCTACAATAACAGTGCCATTCCTATCATGAGCGTGTATCATGTTTACATGTAGGTTAACTTACCTCAATTAAAACGCTAAATCCCTTTTTCGATTAAGAGATTTGATGATATTTATATGACGGATGCCACATGTAGAGTAAGTTCTGAGATAAGTAAAACCCGGTTTATAGTTGGGTTCGTGTATCTCAGTCTTTAGTTGTTTATGTAATGTTTTGAAGACTGATGGCTGTTTATTTTCTCGTTTTTTTCACATTTTTCCATGTTGGAGGGTCTGGATGGGGTATACAGAATAGAGGTTAATGGTAAAAAAAAGTAATGAATAGAGAAAAATGAGCCCAAATATAAAGAATAGAGAATAATGGGATGCAAAAATATAAAGAATAATTGTTGAGAAAAAAAGAATTATGTAATACGATACTGATAACAGAAATGAACGAATGATATATACGAATATACAGAATGAAGAAATCACCAAATTTCATGAAAATTTAATAATATAATCATTTTCGTGAGAATTTTACAGAATAAACGTTAATTTTAAAGATAAAGAAAAATGACTTAAAGCCTAAAAGAATACAGAAATTAAGGACCCCCAATCAAGACCCTCATTTTGTTATTGGGTTTTCCAACACAAATAATTTTTTAGTGTTTCTTTGGTGTCTTCTGTCTCTTTTTTCCCCAAACTTTGACTACCAGAGAATTTCATACTTGCTTGATGTGTTTTCTACACTTACCGTCTTTTACGAGGACCCGTATGGCAGAGGCATCATATGGACCGTTTAATACGCAGTCTGTTGCTATTGAAAATGTTGCTGATGCTGACTTTAGTTTGAATCTGGCATTTGTTGTGTTGAGCATTACAGCTGTTGTGATAAAAAAATAATGAATTTTCCATCAAAGATGAGTATTTCACAAATAGAAAGCATGTTTTTAAAAGAACTACATAAATCGGTATCCGTCTTCTATAACCTTCGAATGTTTCTTTTTATATTATATTTCGAACGAAAATCTTTTTATATGATATTTCGAACGGAAATCTTTTTATATGATATTTCGAACGAAAATCTTTTTATATGATATTTCGAAGGAAAATCTTTTTATATGATATTTCGAACGAAAATCTTTTTACATGATATTTCGAACGAAAATCTTTTCATATGATATTTCGAACGAAAATCTTTTCATATGATATTTCGAACGAAAATCTTTTCATATGATATTTCGAAGGAAAATCTTTTCATATGATATTTCGAAGGAAAATCTTTTTATATGATATTTCGAAGGAAAATCTTTTTATATGATATTTCGAACGAAAATCTTTTTTTATGATATTTCGAAGGAAAATCTTTTTATATGATATTTCGAACGAAAATCTTTTTATATAATATTTCGAACGAAAATCTTTTCGTATGATATTTCGAAAGAAAATCTTTTCATATGATATTTCGAAGGAAAATCTTTTCATATGATATGGCGAAGGAAAATCTTTTTATATGATATTTCGAACGAAAATCTTTTTATATGATATTTCGAACGAAAATCTTTTTATATGATATTTCGAACGAAAATCTATTTATATGATATTTCGAACGAAACAAGTAGAAAAAAACCATCCTTAATCTTCGTGATTTATTTCATTAAACAAAATAAAAGAATAGAGCAGAGAGAAAATTTAAAAAAGTAAACAAAAGGGGAAACAGCATTTAAACTAGTTTTCTATTGTCAATTAAAGATGAAGTGGCATTGCCTTGAGTCGTGCGATTGTAATTTCTAGTCAAAATGCAGATATATCGCCGTTCAAATTATACACTTATCATGTAATAAAACTTACATTGGGCACTGTTATACACAATTTTTGATGATTCTGATGACTCTATATTCCAACACATGGTGATACGGAATTGTGCAAAGTATTGGGTGAATTCATCTGATCTGAAATAGAAAGAAATTCTGAAGTTTTATTTGACAGTATAAAAACTCATTCTTATATATTTTTTTTCAAAATACATGACTTGTATGTGATTTGTATTTATTGTTTAAGCTAGTTTTCAGAGGATCTATATGCCTCTTCTAGAGGTGTAAGTATTCATTTAATCAAGTAATCATGACTGTATACATGTATATATTATCACGAGTTTGCTTTGGTCAACAGCTAAATTAAATGGCAATTACCGTTCCGGTCTTGCTAAAAAAGTTGCTTAATTTTGTTGGTCAAACGATTATACAAAACTCTATACAAAACTCTATACTTTATGATAGATGTCATACTAGTATTTGCTAATTGATATGGCATTTTAATGATCACAAAATTTTCAAGTATATTCAGGCAATGAACAAATTAGCAATAAATACAATAGGTATGTCCTGCAATAGGATCGACCGGACTGATAGGTGGAAACTTTGGAATGCCACTGGACACTGAGGGTAAATTGAATAGGTGCAGCAAGTTAGCTTTGCGACAGGTCATCTACTGATCCTCGAAGAGTTGTTGTACTATCTCTAATAAGACGGTTCGGATTTTACGTCCCCATCCTGACAGTAAGTGAGTGCAATGTTTACAAACGGACACCTCATGTCAACAAGGGTTTTATTACTGGTCGGAGGAAGACCATGGAAGGACTAAATTTTAATTCCCAAGTCCAGATTCTTAGAAGAAGACTTTCAAGTATAAAAGACAAACTGTGATTATTGTTAAACTGTATGAGTAAAAACTGACAGTATATTCTTAAATACTTATAAATATAGATATGATGTATAATTTCCAGTTAAAGTACTATCCAAAACTTACCAAAGAACAAATGAATAAGCACTTACTTGATATATAAGATGTTTCCAAGTTGATCTTCACAGTTGAAGGTCACGGCATTAAATTGTGACATTATACGAGTATTCGAGTCCACATTCATAAGTTTGTTGGATAGTGTGAACTGTGAACTGGTGAAAACTGCTTGACCAATATCACTTCCATGCCAAATACCGGTCAGCTGGGACGGAAATGCACATGCCGCCTCTGTGATAATCAGTTGTATGAATAAATATAAATATATTTGTATTTTGGAATTACAGTCAGAAAAAAATAACATAGCACGACATTAATAAATCAAATGTTAACTTTGTTTCATTTGTTTTCGTCTCGTATATTTGTGTAGACAATAATTTCAAAAAGCCAGAATTATATTTAAAAAATATATTAATTTATTCGAGCTACAAATCGTCCTGAACATGCATGGAATATTTGCTACTGGGCGTTAAGCAACCAACAATCAATCAATCATCGAACTACAAATGTATTAACATTCCCATCAGGTAGAGTGATACTGTTTGACTGACATAATAAAAAGCAGATATGGAATTAGTTTTTCAATATACCATAAAAAGTAAAATAACAAAAATAACGAACTCCAAGGAAAATTCAAATCGGAAAGTTCCTTATCAAATTGCACAATCAAAAGCTTCAATATTGTCTTCTTTATAACAGAATTATGAAAGTTTTTATTTATTATCAAGCCAGAAGAATATACAACACATTATATATCGAAACTAACATGAAAATGAACTGGTTTCTTTGTTTGTTTGTCTGTTACAGTTTGTTTGTTGGTTTTTAACGCCACAATCAGCGACATTGACTTTATCATGGAGGCCAGTTTGTACTGACGGAGGACGCCGGAGTACCTAGATTACTCGGAGAGAATCACCGACCTTCGGCAGAAAAATAGCAATCCTTGTCGATTAAGATCGGAGTCTTACACATATATATTGCAGCGTGATATGAAAATATCACAGAAAGGAGGTTAAATTTTAATTCATAGTTACTGAATCCAATTCATATTCTAGAAAGGATTACACTCAAAAAATATTCTGTGTTGGTTCCATGCAGACTAAACTAAACACTCATAAAATAAATACAGGTTTGTTCCTTCCACTGCCATTTGCTTTTAGTTTTATAGGCAAATAGGAACGCTACTTTTCTGAGATAAAAATTGAGCTTTTAATTTGAATGGTTTCTTTGTTTCAGATTCTGGTCATATATCCGAAACTAAACAATACCTGATTCTGCTTTTTATTCGTGGATTGGAATTATAATTCAGCTGTACAATACTTCTTACCTGCATAATAGATTTTTACAGTGCAGAGGACAGCAACCCAAATCATCCACATCGCTAGAAAGCGCGCTACTCCATCACATTTTCTAAAAAATCTTTCTTTTCTCCAGTGTTATTAGGAAGCCATTTTGTTTTGAATTGTCATATTGAAACAGTTAAACGGATAACAACTTTGATGCAATTTCTATTGTTCAAGCATGCTATGGTGATTTGGATTAAGGGGATTAAAATCTTTAAAACGATATATGCCTGTAACGTGCTTTTTATGCCGATAGAAAGACGAAGGTCTTTAATATTTAAACGTATGTTAAATTTATAAATCATATTCTCGCACAATTTTAAGAAGAATTAGTTTAAATAAGTTTATAACTGAAAACTTTAATCTTATATTAGCAAAATATTTTTAATATTCATTTTTTTTTCTGTGCTAAATTCATTTCAAAGGTTTTGAAAATATACAAGAGTTTTCTGTGCAGTCATACATGAATATTCAGTCACAGAAGTAATGGAGATGGTTGAAATAGCATAGCAACCCTTTATTTTTGGTTAATTAAAAAGGAAAATGTAAAGACACTAGTTGTACTAATTTTATGCTGCTGGTGGATTTTTAGTACCCGAGGGTATCAACAGCTTAGTAGTAAGTTCCTCGGTACTGACATGATTTGTAACATACCTTTCGAGCTTGAAATATAGGATACAACAGATACAGTTAAGTCTGCCTCATATTTTTACTTACATCTAGAAATTGACAATTAAGGTCGGTTGAGAACAAAACTTTAAAAAACAAGAGTTGATTTTAGCTTTCCAATTGTGAACTTTTCATTTCTATGTAGCAACATTCCAGCAGTGCCTGCATATGGAGTATATATCTTCCAGTTGATACGATATTCCAGGGCTTGCGTTTCCTATCATGATTGTCTTTATAGAGAGTTGCTGTTCACAAGGAAGCTATTAAACCAAGAGTTCCAAGTGGTGAAGTGTAAATCACTTTACGGACGCCATTATGAGTTGGTTGACTGTTATGGAATATCTGTTTCACAGATGACGACGGATATGTTCGAATCATCGTAACCTCAATTACGTCTTCCTTTTCCCCGATTATGACCTGTCTAGGAAACCGATGGGTGCCACTTATGGAGCGGGATCTGCTTACCCTTCCAGAGCACCTGAGAACACCCCCAGTTTTTGATGGGATTCTTATTACTCAGTCTATAGTTTTTTATGTTGTGTTTTGTACACTGTTGTTTGTCTTTTGGCCTTTTTTTGCCATTGCGTTGTCGAGTTTGAGTTTGAATGTCCCTTTGGTATCTTTCGCCTCTCCTTCTTTAATTGTCCGTTCATAAATTTAGAAATTATTAAGAAACAAAGAGTCCAACTTCCTCAGGCAAAGTTGAACTTAGTTGGATTTGGCCTTTGTGTTTAGGACGTTTTTTGGCTGTATAACTCTGCACGCGTTTCAGAACACATAAATCCTTTGATTTCATTTTGTTTGGCATTATGCGTTCCAGTTGGAGGTAATTACAAATTTAAGTGAATCGCCTCGGACGCATAAAAGTATACAGACTTATTATTTTCATTATTTTACACTCTTCGTTAACATTTTACAAATTAAAGACAGTTGAGTACCCAAACTGATTCCTTCCAATTGTAAACAGTGTTTTGTACTAGTACAATATACATTGTAACTACATTGTATGCAAAGAATGTACTTGTATTTAATCATTTTAGTTAAAGACGCCCTTCGATGCAAAATTTAACAAAAACACGTAAAATTGTAGTATTGCCTTCAACATAACATGTAGCGCTGAATTGAATGAAAGGAAATATTTAAAATTGTTTAAAACTGTTTAATGCATATGATATATATATACAAGCACTGTAGTTTCCAAATTTCAGTAATATTGGAAACTTCAGCTTTTCGATTTTAACCCTATGAGGATAAGAAATACCCAGGAAATTTGCCCTATCTCTTTATGAAAACATTTTACAATTTCAAAATACTTTCGAAATATTCAGATGAGAAACTCCTTAGTGTTTTGCTATTTAACTTTTCAGGTTTGTTTTTTTTACGATTTTGCTATGTTGTTCTTTTATTCACTTAGAACTATACCATATCATTTTTATTCCTAAGACGACCAACTTGCTATTGGATGATACTCTACTTTACAAAATATATATTTCTCTCTCTCTCTCTTCTGCTCTTGTTTTCTCTTTTTCTCTAGATATCAATGTAATATAGGCCACTGGACATTATGCAGCCGAGAATCAATTGTAGAGTTACACCAGAAATGCATCAATGTGTCAATCAGTAATACAAAAACTTATTTGAATACATAACATGAAAACAGATTGACGTAATGAAATAGCTATAAATAAACATTCCGTGTTGAAGGCCTCACTGTGAATTTGAGATGAGGAACAGCAATCAAAGCGTTGTTCCTTTGCTTTTTGTGTGTTTTTTTTTTTTTTGCTGTGCATGTACTGAATCTGTGTCATGAATGGATACCCCATATCATTTGTTTTTCTATTATACAATATCATGAATCAAAAATGGCGTTCCTATAACTAAGTCAAATAGAGGTAAAACATTGAACTGAACTTTGTAAAAGAATCGGCTTAACTCATTACTCAATTTTTCTGACAAAACTCCAACATATTTACTAGCCCTTTTAACAAACCTTACAAAGCAATGAACGATATTTTACTTTTTAAATTTGCCAAAATTCGTCATGCTTTAAAAATTATAATATTAAGATAATCCTAAAAAGATTACGTTCAATACACTAATCACTTAGAAACCACCTTAATACAGACCGGAAAGTTTTTACCCTCGACTTGGACTGAAATGCTCAATTAATTGTTATTTTATAGTTGTTATTAATTTTTTGAAAATGTGAATTTGTCAGAAAAATGGATTCAACTTTCTGCACCAGAAAGGATGACATTTTTCTAAAATGGAGATTAAAATAAGGTTTTCAATATAATAAAAAATGGAATGCCAACATATTAAAAATGGAGGACTATATTTTCTAATAATTCTTTTGGTAGCTGTTGTTTATATTGGTAAGTTTTTCATTCTGACTTTTTTTCAACCAAAAGACGCCCAGTTCATAGCTTCATGTGCATTGAAAACTGGTGTCGTAACAATCTTTTTTAATACGTCTTTGATGCTTTCTTTTGTTATATATACTAGTATGAAGTCATAGTTTCCTTGCTAGCTAGTTTCCAGATATATTTGCTAGTTTTTGTTGAATCGATAGTCTTATCGCAAGAATGTGAACATTTCTTTCACTGCACAAACGATATTGCATGTTCAATACTCTAGGTAACATCGATCGCAGATGTTCCAGTTGTTTAATATCTAGCATACTTGTAGCACGCCAATTTTTGTTATAAGTCTTATTAAGTTTTTGTAGTTTTTTTTTTTTATATATTTGCCTTCCAAACTTACAAAATGAAAATCTGTTTGTGCTCACAAAACGTCAGATCAATCCGTTTATTCCAAGAATGGGTTGATGTATATGCTTAACGTCCAGTGAAAAATAGTTCATGGATATATAAGACGATACGATGAAACGAAATAAGAAAATATCTGATAAGACTTGCACGCTAAACCGCATTTTCAATGAAAGACAAGTCACCTTTCCCATACACATTATTCCGTCTTCACGCCAAACAGGTTTTGCTCTAACTTCTAAATCAAGTTATGTATAGAGTTTACAGGAAATAGAATAATGGACAAACAACAATAAAGAAGGGAGAAAAAGGTCAAAAAGTAAAATAAATAATAATAAGGAATAAAGGGATGCTTAAATATATAAAATAGTGAATGGCAAAATTCAACTAAACTTGATAAAGAAAACAGCAAACATAACCCAAAAAACAAAGAATACTGAAATGGAGAACTCCATCCCAATTCAGACCCTTTTAAATGGGGTGTGCTTATAGCGGATCGGAGAAACAGTAATTAATAAGACCGAAGATCGAACGCATAACCGACTATATGAATGTATTGTTTTTTTTTATATTCAATGATTTTTTTAACCATGATAAATCGACTGATATGTTGATAAAGCGCAAATGTCCATTAAAAAAGCGCAAATGTCCTATCAAAAAGCGCAAATGTCCTATCAAAAAGCGCAAAACGTCACGCGCCGTGGAAGATATGTCAGTGTTAATCAATCTTATTTTAATTTGTTTAATTACGAAAAAAAACATTTGAAATACATACACCAAGTAAACAATTCACTTGATTACAGATCCACGTAACTTTGCGGTACTCTTGACCACTTGGTTCAAGGTATATAGAAAGAGCATGTAATATCCGTAATTATGTGATAAGCAGATGTTCCATGGATCATTGAGCTTGAAAGAATATTCATGGAACAATTACGGACAACGGAAACTCGTTCTGGAACATAACAAAAAAAAAAAACAAAAAAAAAAACCCAACAATCCCCAACCTGTTGTTATTGTTATTGACTTTTAGTTCAGTTGCAAATTTTTTTGGAAGATTTCTATATTTTAGATGGCAGCTGTACATTTCCGTCCGCCCTGACTGGTGATTGGTATAGTAGTAATGGCGGAGAGTTGACCTTCACATCAACTTCATTTTCTAATTTCAAAGTTGCATCATTCGGTTCCTATACTTTTACATGTGAAATTAGCAGTGGCTCACAATATATTAGCAGGTAAGCATGCTTGACCATATTACAGATACGAACACATTGGAGATTCATAAACGAATCATTTTATTTGAAAAAAACCCAAACGCAGGAACAGCGCATTAATCAATGTGCTTCATCTCAAAGACATAAGGAAGCCTACTACACCACGCAAACGCTTAAACTGAGCATCGGTTTGAGTGGAATTTATTTGTAAGTTACGCTATATAATATACTAGTATGCATTGAAGAACTGAGGTTTGGGGTAGTACCGACTAGTTATAAACGATTAAAAACCTTTAATAAACAACGAATATAAACAGGGATTTAAACCAATTAAAAACCGTCTATAAACAACGAATATATACAGGGATTATAACATGCAATGTGCTTCACCCTTTTTACGATTTTTGATCAACAAAATGCACCACAAAAGATATCGCAGAAAGCACTTAACTAAATGATATTGCAGTTAAGGACAACAAAAACACAACTTTAAGTCAAAGAGTACAGATAATGGTTGTGTTAACCGATCATATGGTATGAGTTTTTCTCATTGTTGAAGGCCGTACGGTTGCCTTTAATTGCTTACATTCACTTCATTTGAACTTTGGTGGATAGTTGTTGCATTGGCAATCATAGCACATTTCCTTGTTTTTATATGAGATGTATTGAAATTTTAGAGTAATAAATTAAATGAAAAGTCATATTCGTCATCAATTTTGGTATGAAGGCGATCGTCAAATTACGAATATTAACTGTCCTCTGTTTCTTCATTCAAGAAATCTGCGATGACCCCTTTAAGAATTGAAATTCTTCCACTTTTGGGCTTATCATAGAATTGAATGCTGTTTTTTTTTTTTAAATTATACGACATGAAAGCAAGTGACCAATGTATTTTTAAAACATTAATGGTCACTTGCTATCATTTCGTATAAATTTTCAAAAGCACAGCATTCAATTCATATTTTCACAGATTTCCGAAAAAAAATGTTATTCACATTTTGAATCTGAAAGGAATACTTTCAGCACAAAACTTCGACAGACATTAATTGTCTAACGACGTGAAGGCAGTAGAACTCCACGTGAAATCAGAAATAATATGTCATATAACTGAAATAAGTAGGGAAAAGTACACATATTTGGCGGGAAAAGTTATTCTGTTGGTTGTTCATTTTGAAATGGGTCACATGACTTGAATGTGAAATAAGTAGCCGAAAACGAACACTTTAGACATATCATATCAGTAGTGTATTTTAACTGTATGTTGCGGTTATTTCTAGATGCGACGCCTTACGTATGTTTAGTCATTTTGTTTTTTTTTGTTTCCAGTTCAGAGGTATTTTACGTGTTTAACCTACCATTTATTGCCTACATATGTATGGATTTAACCAGAATTTCAGGATACAAGTATCGCTACTACCAGCCAACAAGTAAGTGTAATAACTAACTGTCACTAAATAGGTTGATGATTTATTTTTTGGGAAAAGGGGGACTTCTGAAAGTGACAAGTAAAAAAAAAAAACCCAACAAAGATAAATAAATATATATATTAATGTTTAATTATAGTCTATAAAATAGTCAGTTTCGTCTTTCATTTCTATCTTTAAATTTGATCAAATAGTCAGTTACGCTAGTCTATCGGATAACTGTCAAATAGTCAGATACGCTAGTCTATCAGATACCTGTCATACTAGGTTTAGAGTAACAAGTCAGTCAGAGATCTGTCAAATATTCAGATACGCTTGTCTATCAGATAACTGTCAAATAGTCAGATACGCTAGTCTATCAGATAACTGTCAAATAGTCAGATACGTTAGTCTATCAGATAACTGTCAAATGTTCAGAGACACTCGTTTGTCAGATACTTATACATGTATTTTATATCAATGTTTTTTTTTACCTAATTGCATTAAGGCTCAAACTTCTTGCGTTCAATGAAAAATTTCATTGACTGCACAAACAGCTTCATTTTCAGAGATTGTCGTTTATATGATGCATTCCAAAGCATTACTCTAAAATATATTTTGCTATAAGATGTCTTATTTAAAGATTCAAATGAAGAAATTGGTAAAAATATAGGGATTTTGCGATCAAATATTTCAATTTCGATATGTTGATGATCTTACACCGACATTAAAAAGTTTGTTTTTTTTTGCGCAGAAAAGTCCAGATTTTATCATTCTTTTTATTTAACATAAAACTTGCATAATTCTGAAAGGATTTATTTTTATAACTATTTTTGTCTTTGAAGGGCTCAAATAATGGTACATTGTCGTACATGGTTCATTTCTCTTTTTATGTTTTACATACAATACTGTCATTCTTATTCATAATGAATACAATTGCAGCGCAACTGATAGACGCCGAATACAACAGATTAAAGATCTATCTAAATAACACAGTGACAGTCTCCGACATCAGTACAATATGCGAGCTGTCAGACTATACAACTTTAAGCTATCACATGCTTCTCAAAAATAGTGAGTTCGCCATTTTATATTCTTACAACATTTGGTAAAACGAAATCCCTTAGAAATACGATAAGCGGACAGAAAGTTACGTGACGAAAAAGTTGCAGGACAGAAAGTCACGTGACAAAAAGTTGCAGTACATAAAACACACAAATTTAATAGGACAAACAGTCACACATAATTTGTTTATAATTGTTTGAATATATTAGAGAAAGTTCTTGACATAATTACTTTTTATTACATATACTCATTTTACAGTTAAGAAAATAGTTCATAAGTCTTTATAGATATAGATCATCAATTGTAATCACGCAAAGGATATTCTGTACAACTCATTAAAATTACAGGTAGACGACTATAGGTAAAAAGCGCAAATGTCCGGTCAATTTAAAGGGGCATTAGCTACGAGATATAAAAAAAAAAAAAAATAAAATATGAGATTTTTTTTGTTCAATCATAAAGTGAAATAGTGAAATAATAATTCCCTTTTAGAAGCCAGTTTGATTCAATTTTGTCAAAATAAGCTAAGAAACATCGCAGATGAATTATTCACTTACAAGTGAATAATTCGACCTCATTGAATTCGTATTCACGTGACCTTCAATGTAACCCCTTAGCTAGAGATGGGTTACGCATGAATTAGTCGTGTTCAGTTCAGGAAAAGAATGTCAACATTGAAAGTGAAACAAGGGTAAACCATTTGATTGATTGGTTCGATCCACAAAAACTCATCCTTATACAAGTAAGAACGATGATTAACATATATTTTAATCTATAATATGAAGTCAAATAGACCTAGAAAAATCCAATTGCGCGAGTTCGCTATCTATTTATATCTATATTTATGTTTATATCGGGTTATATTACCGTTGGCAGTCTTCGGAGGTCAACTCGATGGTTACTTAGATGGCGTCTAGAATCAAAAATACAGACAAAATGCTTATACATATTATCGAGCCCATGCATTGTAAATTTTTTTTTTTTACTTTTTATAATTTGGATATACGTTTTACTATGTTATAATTCAAATATGAGAACTGAGTCAAATCGGTGAACATAAATTTGACAGCTAATGCTACTTTAATACAGGTGTACCAAAATTTAAAGCGCAAATGTCCATAGTGTTTGGAGCGCAAATGTTCTATCGAGTTACAGGTAAAAAAGCGCACCATGAAGCCAAGCCACTTTGATAGATTGTTTTCATAACAATTATTTGATCATTATTGATTTTTCTAGAATAAAGTTTGTTCATAGAGTTGCTTTATATATAATAGTTCAAGGAAAATACAAAAATGTTTTTTTTTAAAATAAGTGTTTTTTTATTCACTGACAGAAAAATAGTCTCAAAACTGAATAATTTTATTGTGACTTTTTGTCCTGTGACTTTTTGTCCTACATTCTAGAAATACAACCCTGTTGTGTGTTACATTTGTAGATATCATTTTAAATATATGTTAACCTGAACTGAAATTTTAAATAATAATAATAATAATAATAATAAAAACGAGAACGTTGAAATAAAGATGATACAGTAAATTTGATGTTGTTTGAATCACTTTAAAATTATTTTGTATTAATTTTTAGACACAATATCTAGTCAGAAAATTCAATGTCCAAATGCATTTTTGGGAACGTTTAATTACACCTACGATACCGGAAGCGGAAATCTGTGTGCTGCTAGCAGTGGGTTAGACGTTTGTACAGACAAGTCCACAATGACTTTTGATTACACACTTTGCTCAGAGACCCAAGCTTATTCTGGTGAGCTATTTAGTCTTTTATAGAAAAGAGATGTTTGTGATGGACCTTTATTATTCCAAATTAAATTCATTTATTTCTTTTCGCAAAGCAAATGTGTGTGTGTGTGTGTGTGTGACTGTATGTGTGTGTGGAAAGGGGGGTGGGCGGAGCTTGATACTTGTCAATCTTTGGATAGAGACTGTAAGATGATCTTTACATGCCCTTTGAATGTGTGGGTCGTTAGATTGCTGTTTCATTGACGTATATCACATATTTCCTTTTGTTCTTATTTTGTTAAATCATGTTGTAATCAGTTTATGTTCAATGGTTTTGATGAACGCAATGTGATGTGTAGTTTTTACAACTGTTATGAGTAATAATGGATTTTTTAAATTTAAAAGTGTATCACAAAAGAAAGACAATAATTTTATTCATCGTATAATCATATTAAATATAAAAGCAAAAGTACCTAAACTAAGGTAACAACTGACGATTTTGTTTCGGACTTTTACTTTTTGATCCTCTCCTTTGTCCTAAAATTATGTATTATCTAGATTGTATTATCTAGATTGTATTATCTAGATTGTATTTTCTAGATTGTATTATCTAGATTGTATTTTCTAGATTGTATTATCTAGATTGTATTTTGTATTATCTAGATTGTATTATCTAGATTGTATAATTTAGATTGTATTATCTAGATTGTATTATCTAGATTGTATTTTCTAGATTGTATTATCTAGATTGTATTTTCTATTATCTAGATTGTATTATCTAGATTGTATTATCAAGATTGTATTATCTAGATTGGAACATTTTTCAAACTTTTTATTATCTGAGAGTTTTCACCGGAATATATTATTTCAGCTAAGTTTTGAAGAAGATTATTCGCCAATTTTGAAACCATAATTGATACATAAGTATCAAATGCAATTATTTTTTTTCCGTTTTAGCTGGCGGAATAGTAAACTGTGTGTACTCCTCTACATCAGGATCTGCTACCTTGCTTCATGTCTTTAACTTAGACTCTACAACAGATGAAAGCACATATTATAGATTCACATGTTATGTAAGTACAATACTTCATATCTTTAACTTAGACTCTACAACAGATGAAAGCACATATTATACATTTACGTGTCATGTAAGTACAATACTTCACGTCTTTAACTTAGACTCTACAACAGATGAAAGCACATATTATAGATTCACATGTTATGTAAGTACAATACTTCATATCTTTAACTTAGACTCTACAACAGATGAAAGCACATATTATACGTTTACGTGTCATGTAAGTACAATACTTCACGTCTCTAACTTAGACTCTTCAACAGATGAAAGTACACATTATAGATTTACGTGTTATGTAAGTACAATACTTCACGTCTTTAAAATAGACTCTACAACAGATGAAAGCACATATTATAGATTTACGTGTTATGTAAGTACAATACTTCACGTCTTTAAAATAGACTCTACAAAAGATGAAAGCACATATTATAGATTTACGTGTTATGTAAGTACAATACTTCACGTCTTTAACTTAGACTCTACAGCAGATGAAAGCACATATTATAGATTTACGTGTAATGTAGGTACAATACTTCATGCCTTTAACTTAGACTTTTCAACAGATGAAAGCACATACAAGTGTTATAGATTCACGTGTTACGTGAGTACAATAATTCACGTCTTTAACTTAGACCCTACAGCAGATGACAGCACCTATTATAGATTTACGTGTAATGTAGGTACAATACTTTATGTCTTTAACTTAAAAATAAACATTGAGCAGTAATCTATTAAAACATTAGTTGAGTTCAAACTTAAATGTAACTTAGGTTTCACCATAGTTTTTGCTCTTTTATAAAATGTTTAAATATCGATCTCCGCAGTACGAATTATTAAAATATCATAGCACGTCAATTTTCTAACTTTTGAAAAAACAAAAGTCAAATTTTCACTTCAAACAGAAATTAAATGTTTGTCATGTCTAATGAAATTTACTAGACTGATAGTAAATATTGATGGAAATATCTCTGTCTACGAATTTACATATAACTTGGTTCAAAGGTTTTGCATGAATTTGTTTTTTCAGAGGTTAATTGATGCCGAAAATCGACTAATCAAATAATGCTTACGATAGAAATTATCAATAGCTTTTAGTTAGTCATTGGAACATGGATACAAGTAGTATCAATATACAATTGAAAGTTAATCAGATTAATGATATAGTCAGTTCAGGTTTAGGAATTTTTGTCAGATGTTCGGACTCCTTTGTTTTTTTCCTACGATACAGGGTTAAATATTTTGCCCCATATCATCCACTTTTCTTTTCACAGAAGGGTTCAATAGGTCATAACAGTTCATTACCAAAAATTTAAGCAGATTCTAATTTTCTTTTCTTACGATTTGAGACCAAAATAATGCCATTGCTAAATATAAGGTAAAAGTCCGAGTCAGCCTTTTCCCGCCACTTTTTCAACATCAAATATCTGGAAATGGATTTCCAAAGCCTATCAATATTTTTAGCTTATTTTGTTCCTTAACTAATGCTCTTCTGATTCAAAGTACCAATTTTAAATTCCAGATTTTTTTAATTTCACCTGACTACATCCTTAAATATCGCGAACTGCGGACCACAACAGTAATGACCATTTCATCGTCTGATCCGAAATTGTTTGTCAGATGTATGTTCGTTCTATCGATCCATCGGAATTGCTTTTAGGCAACAGGAATCACTATCGAGACACGGAAATCTCTATCAAGTCACGGGAATTAGTATCAAGATACGGGAATCACTATCGAGACTCGGGAATAATTTTACGACAATCATCGAGCCACAGGAATCATTATACGACAATCATCATCAAGCCACGGGAATCATTATACGGGAATCACTATCGAGTAACGGGAATCATTATCGAGCCACGGGAATCGCATTGATCCACAAAAATCACAACAGAGCCACGGGAAATCTACAGGTATCACTATATTGCAGTTATAATATATTTAAAAAATGTGAATGAATTTTGGACAATTCATTTATTCATACCAAATGAGATTTTGTTTCTCGTTTAATTTTATCCGAGGATGAATTTTCAATGGCATATTTATACTGTTTATAATTTCGTTCGATGTATTCCTTTCAGGTTATTGAAACAATTAATAGCGTTGTGTATGCAACACAGTATCCACAGGACTGTCATTATGGACAGAATGCCACAAATGTTAATGCCACTGGAGGAAACCTGGTTCTAACAGCAGAATCTACTTGTGGTAGGATTTCCAATATATTTATTTCTTTGAACTGGAAAATTATCATTTTAAATATTTTTGTAGGTTAAAATTTGTTTATATTTTATGCTAACATGAAAAGTTTTGTTATGCACCAATGCAAAAGTCCTCTATAATAGATCTTATTTCAATGTAGCTAATGCGTGTTTTCTTTTGCACAGAAAAGGACACAAAATGTTAATAACCCTTCCATCTCAAAGTTGGCTGTGACAAAAAGCTTTACCTTTCTCAAATTCAAGTCAATAATTCTCAGATGTCAATATAAGAACTTGCAACCTCATATTTTTCTTGTAGGAATTTTCGAGATCTTTTTTTTTATAGATGAAATGAAAGTCTACGAATCGCAGTAAAATAATCAGTGCAAAAGAAACCCCCAAAAAAGTTACTTGATAAATGTTTAAATATACGCTATTCTAATATGACGTTCTTCTTTCGCTTTGAAAACAAAGCCATGTTCTAATTCCAATAAAACATGGGCTGCACGTGGATGTCACAACTGAAATTAGAAAATTAAAAAAATCATTCTAAAAGTAAGTTTACATGTGTCTGTTCATTTATTTATCGTGAAACAGTTGATTTTCTATTTTTGGCTTCATCAAATCAAAATGGATGACTTTTAAACGCGTATTATAGGTCCGCTTCGAAGAACAAAAGTTCTAAACTTTCCTATTATATTCGAAATAATTCTCTCATGCCATGCGCTATGCAAATTTTAACATGGGCTTGTCTTTTTTCTTACTAGTACCTGAGACAGTAGCAGCAGCTAGTATTGGAATCTACATTGCCATTGTTATTCTGCTTCTAATTATCATAATCGCCATTATATTTGCAATATATATGTGGAAGAAGAAGAAAGAAGAAGAAAAAAGAAAGAAATTGGAGGAAGAAGAAAGGAGACTTCAACAAAATACTATCAGGGAGAAGAGAGAAAATCCCGATTTGAGACCGGAAATGGACCTTGGACTTCCGGACGATTCTAAATATAACATCGATCGTCTCATGTACAGCGATGACAAAATGGTTACACCGTCAAATATAGAAATTGAAAGATTGAGATCTCAAGGATTTGCGGTAAAATTAAACGAATAGATTTCGTATGAGTTTGCTTAAGATTGAAAGTTATACACGAACTGTACCAAAGAGCACTTTTTGCATGTTACGATCAATCAATTGATTGATTTTGATTGCTTAGCGTCCAGTGGCAAATATTTCATGGATGCGCAGGACAAACGATCAATCGAAAACATACACTCAAAATGACACGCCATTAGTTACTCACGATTAATATTTCAAAATGCGAGAATTAACATAGTCGAATTTAATATAACAAATATTTTGATAAAAACAATACCTTCATGCTCATGTGTTTACGAGTTTATTTCAAATTTTTGTGTAAATAGTCGCAGGGACTAGTGAAGGAACACCCAACATCTGAAACAAATAGTACACAGATCTCAGTAAAATCATTCTTGAAAACATTCTTATATTGAACCTTAAAAGGGTACTCAATCTGGTAAGCACTTGTATGCACCAATCCAATTCAATTCATTTTGAATAAAGTATAAACTTTATAAGAAAATTTAATTTACCATATGGCTTGATATGTTTTTCGCTCATTGATATATATCTCACATTTTCTTATATTCATGCACATTTGTCTATTAAACATGTGTCCTTTGACCTCGAGCATCACTGAAAAGACATTTATTGTCGAAATGCGTATCTGGCGCAATAAAATTAGTACCGTTGATGTTATTGCTATCCTTTTAAGCTGTTTCATTGGTTATCCTACCACATCTCCTTATTTTATATCGTTTTGTCTGGTAGCTGTCCCATTGACGTCTAACATATATCTCCCTTTATTGATGCACTAAATAAATGGACGAACATCAGTTACTCCATCTTCGGACATTCAATTCCCATCGACGTTTACATGCATCCTTTTATTGATACCATTAAATGGAAGAAAATCAGTTATTACATCCCTGGACAATTGTTTAACATTCAATTATACGTTAACGAAAGGTGATGTTTAAAAGTCTTTGTTTACAAATGCGATATACTTAACCATTATTTAAATAATTTATTTATTTACATTTAAATAATTTGTTTATTTACAGGGATTTGATGGATTTGATGATGATTACATGGACGATTTTACTCGGCAAAATATGGTATGTATTCTTTAGATTGTTCATTTATGGAATTTTTGTCATTTTAATATTTCATTAATAAATGAAAAACAGTTTTTTTTAAAAAACGAAGTTTAACTGATGCAACTTTGATATAGGCATTGATTTCTTAGAGTATTAAACCAGAATAAAAAAAATAGGGGAATTGTACCTAAATGGCTGCATTAAGTGTGTACTTGTTGATTTGTAAACAAGACTTAGTGCACTAGTTGATTTGTAAACAAGAGTACAATTCAACTGAATCGCTAAAAACCAAATGTTAGGACCCTCCTGAATATGCATGCATGCATTTATAAGACATATTGCTTATTTTCTATGAAAAATCTGTCACTGGACGTTAAGTTAATACCAACTAATCAACCAAACGTTAGACAAAGTTGAATAATATAAAGAATGAACAATTAAATTGAAAATATATTGAAATGCACTAACACGGTTTAATTACTGTTGAAATTCCTTTTTACATTTTGTTTTAGAATTGAATACAATGTATCTCTTATTGTAATTTTTAGCTCTTACAACCCCATAAATTACAAAAAGAAGTACTAGTATTCAGTTCTTAAAAATCATATTTCCATACTACAGCCATGAAATTAAGAGTAAAATCATTTCTTTCGTTTGTTTTTCTGTGGATTGTTTTAACTTTATCACCGGGAGCACGTGCAGTCATATACATGTATATATTGCATTTTATACTTAAATAAAATATAACTTTTGTTCAATCAAAATTACAGAATCGTGTGAAACTTCTATGTAATGTAATTATCGTATTTTAACAGAAACGAATTATTCAAGATGAACCTTCACTATTTATTCCTGCGTCTCTTCATTGCAACTAAAACAACATCGATAAATAAAAAAGTGATTCAAAATATTTTTTTTTTAGTTAAACAAATTCATACTAATTATAGATATAGCATTACTAATTTCCTTCCTTCAATCGTTCATTTAAAAGAATGAAATAAAACAGTAGTCCGGGTTCGGGTTTAAGTTTTTTTCCCTTTTGATTTCATCAGCTCTTCAACGTTTATATTTAGGTTCCAGGCTTTCAATATATTTTGTCCTCGAGAATCTCTGAAAGACAATTTTTATCGAAATGCGCATCTAGTGAAGTAAAATTGGTTCCGTTAATGATTTTTTTAATTCTTATTTTTCTTACTTTCCTTTAAATAATTCTCGATTTGCATTTCCTTTTGGATTTCCCCCCCCTAATTATATATTCCTTCGGTACTTTAAACTATCACTGACATAAAGGAATAAACTTAATACTTCAATAAAATGTGTAATCTTGATTTATATAACATCAGTACTGTCTGTTAGCCCCTAGTTTGTTTAGGGATCTATACAAACAGTAATAATCAAGTCACGTGGGCAATATAAATGTCATGTTTATTATGAAAGTTGTGGCAACATGTTTTTAAAGTATCTTGTATGTATATAAAAGTTATTACAGATTGACTGAGTACACACTTCAAATGTTTCTTTGATCTTAATTTAATGTACGTTGCTACAAATGTACAGTAATGAGGGGCCTGATGGGTTATTTTCGTTCTTCGTGATCGGCGCATTTTCGCTATCGTGATCCGTTTTTTTACAGATTTTTTTTTTTTATATTTTCGTGATCCGTGATCATGGAAATTTATTTTCTGTGAATCGTGATTGACAAAAAAATCAACTCGTGAATCGTGATGAGACCCCCCCCCATCAGGCCCCTCAGTAATAATCTTGAACTTTCATTTTTATCGTATAACGAGTAGGATGTAAAAAATAAAAAAAAAAAACTTTTTTACTCTGACGGTCACATAGTCTGAATAAACAAGTAGCGATGTCATTAAACACAGCAGGTCAAATGTCTTGTAGAAAAAGCGCAAATGTCCTGTAGAAAATGTGCAAATATCAATTTTGTAAAAGCGCAAATGTTATAAAAACCAAAGCGCTAATGTCCACTAAGAAGGCAAAAATACTCTATCAAACATCACGCACACAATTAGAGATTAAAACGGTACAAAAAGATACATAAGTTCTCATTACTAATTCAGGACACCACTAAAGAGTATATTGATTTTCGAAATGCCCAAATAGTGCACTAAATGTAGGGCCGTTAATACTATTAGAACAACATCAATATCAATATCAAATGAGTACATGCATATGGGTCCGTGTATATTTGCGTCTCATATGAAGGTGTTGACTATCCTTGTTGGGTTGCTGTTTTGCTGACTGTGACATCTTATGCTCCTTTACAATAAGTATTGAAAGAGAATTTAAAAAGAGATTAATCTTGAAATCCACAAATCATATTTATCAAAAAGTAAATAAAACACCTAACTTCAAACTACTTTTTACAAAATTTTTATACATGGTGAAGATTATGCAAGATAAAAAAGTTTACATATATGTATTTGATTTTCATAACGAGGCTAAGTCTTCAATATTTGGAATGCTATTTTCTCCTTTGCTTGTTCTTTTCGCTTACACATATTTGTTGTATTAGATGTAAAATAATAAAACACGTTTTTATTTGCAGATTGATGCTTCCTTGTTCATAGACAAGCGTCAGCGCCTGGATCCCATCGATGAGATGGAAGGCAGTGAAAGAGGAAGTGCTTCTTTTATGAAAAGATTCAAGGAACTCGCCCGAAGCAGAATAAAAAGAAAGAAAAGAAAAGGTGGAAAATCGAAAGGTAAAGGGAAGAACAAGAGTAAAAAGGACGCTGATGGCAATGTTGTGAAAAAGAAAAAGAGATTAGTCCTTGACCTTGGAACTATCGATGCCGACGATTGGGAATCTGACGAAGACTTTGAAGGAGACGAAAATGGTGATGACGATGTGAACCTACCAGGACAAGTTGAACATTTAGAAGAACAAATGCCTTCAGGGACCGGGATTGGACCAGTCTTGTTACAAAGGAATGTTTTAGCAGACAGAAAAGTGGTCCAGGAACCAAAAGGCAAGAAGAAGAAGAAAAAGAAGAAGAAGGTAAGAATATATGTAATTCATCGATGATTATGTCGTTCAAAGTTTTAAAACATTCGATAAAAATGCCTAAGTTAAGACCTTCACAAACAAAAATATTTGATATATAATAATAACAAGTAAGTATGTTTTTAATTTTTCATCAATTCAATAGAAATATTTCAAATTTATCAATTTTAAGGTTACAGAAAATATTTTCCAATAAACTACTTTTGGCAAAAAAAAATTTATTGACGTTTATTACATATATCTAACACTCATGCTAAATATCTTAGACTAATAGACAATCAATCAGTTTTATACACAAGCAAATGTTTCTTCTATTCAAACAGATCACTAGTAAAATAGATTCCTTCAATCCTTTACGAAGAAGGAAAAGTAGTCGAGTTGAGGTAGTCAACTATGGTCTTGTTTTGCTGAAACAATATATCCTGATATTCATATTAGAACAAATAGTCGAATTGCATTGGATAATAGTCTATTTTCATTACCGGCTGGTTTCCAATTTTATTTTTTAACATTTTATTATGACAAACTGTATCCCTGTTTGTACTAGGATGTGGAACAGACATAGTATATTGTTCGAGGTCTTACAAAAATTTTGACTTCGTAAGTGCATTACACATGCACATGAGATTGTTAAAAGTGATTTTGCGATAAAAATGCACACCTGTTTAATACAGCTTACGTACATCAAAACATCCATAAGTTGTATTTTGACAGGAATACAGTTTGACCTACCAGATGTCGCTTCCCTTTCTCAAAAGTTATAAAACGGAAACACAGTCGACTATTCGAGAATGGACATTGTCCTTGCTTAACTGAAACAAACGTGTTACTCGAATTGTTGGATCTATTGTTTTATGATGCATTCTCAATATATAGATAACAGTTTCAAATTTAACTTTTATGTCTAACATCACATTAATTTACACATTCGTGCTAAGCTCATTATTTGACAATACACATTTCACTACTACTACTGGGCACGTTTAATACACAATGTCACAGAATTTGGATGTTAGTGTAATATTAATTTAAAACAAGATTAAAAAAAATAAACAAAATGGTGAGAAAATGGTTTTTTCTAAGAGTTATATCGTGACACGGAAGCAGTTTCTCACGTGACCTTTGTTGTCCAATAGGATTGTACTGATACTGACGATGAAGATGATCAATGGGTGGAAATGGATTTGGAAATAGCTACGCCAAGACTAATTCTTCCAAACTTACGCCCTGAAAAGACGGACACAGATCAGGATAATGTAAGTTTAACTTCTAAATATAGATACATTTGTACATTTCATTTTGAAATAAATTCACAAATAGACATTTCAGATTACACTGGCATCCAATATGTATTGGTTACCACTTGTTAATTCACATATTGTTATATTAAAGCACGCGATATCTAACAAAAAACTTATGTTTGCACGCGTCATCTACTTAACCATACTCATCAAGGAGATTGAAAGAATGTTCCTTTTCAGAAAAAGAAAAAGGGTCCGACTACATTGGCGCCACCTGTTACTAAGAGAAAGTCGTTAACGTCCCTCAAGAGTTTCCCCTCGATGAGAAGTGCAAAAGTGAATAATTGGACACAAGAGCAGGACTTGGACTTACCGCTTTTCTTTGAGGATCCAAAATTAAAAGACCTACCTCCGCTCCAAAGAGTGAATAGAAAGAAAAATCCGAAACTATGGTCCGACATTCTTGCCAAATTTGGTGGGGATTTAAAACTTGGCAATGATCCAAATAGGCTTAGATGGTCGGAGAGTAAATGGCGTAATTTACTTGAGGAGCTTTACACTGACAAAAAATACTTTGATTATATGACAAGTAAGCACTTTTATCATTTTCTACAATTCACCATGCCATGTATTAACAAGTGTAGTGTAGTGTATAACACGATAAACAGACGATAACGTAACAATTTCTAAAAGTGCAAATTCGTGATCAAGGATAGAATAACTCAAAGAGACAAATCAAAAGTAACGAGTCAGCGACTCATTTCACAAAAAATCTTAAGAGTAAAAATACTCGTAAGTCATACACATTTCAGTATAACTTACGATCAATTTTAATCGTAAGACTTTTTATGAAAAGAGTCGCAGATGTTCGAACATGAAAACAATGTACAATAACAGTGAGCACTTTCAAATAAAGCTTTGAATAACGGTAATGCACATCAAAACGGAAATCTAATATGGCAATTACATTCTACGAAGCATCAAACAATTTCCATAATTATGCTTGCAATGACGTGAAAATCGGCAACACATATTTTAATCACGATTAAATTTAATGTCATTATTCGAACAGGAATGCTGACACTTCCAGAGCACATGGTTTTAATTACGAGTGTTATTGTGGTTTGTAGCGAGCAATCTGTTTTTGAGTGAAATTGTGTTAACTTTTTTTGTCTTTACGTCTTTTTTCTTTTGACCATGATTTTAAATGTCGTTCGAATTGAAGTCATTGGTTGCCCATTTCTTTTTTTTATGACACATTCTATTGATTGACAAATTCAGTAAAACAGTAGAAACTTTCTCATTGATGAATATAATTGATGCCTATGTAATAAAATTAAACAGTTACCCTAAATAAATCAAAAGAGCTTCGTTAAAATTTATTTATATCTATTATATTTTTTATAAAATATGAACTTTAATATTTTCAGAATCTGCAAAACATAACCCAGCAGAAAGAGACGTTGTTGGAGAAGCAAACGAAGGACTTGGTTATCTGTTTGAAAGAGCCAATTTCTGGAAAGAACAAGAACCAATACCAGTTCGCCCACCTTCATGGAGATCACACTCTTTTGCGCATTCAGCTAGTTCCCCAAGGGGTAAAACTCCAAAGAAATCAAAATCTTTTGTAAATTCTACATCCGTTAAAAGTACAAATGACACAGTATCAGGAGAAAGCTCTGGAGGTGGATCAAAAGAAAATTCAGTGCTTCAAAAGGACGAATTGTCACCAAATGATAATTCTAATCTCCACAGAGAAAAATCAAAGCTTTCAAGAGAGAAGTCAAACGTTTCTAAAGAGAAATCTTCACTTTCAAGAGAAATGTCGAATGGTTCTAAACCAGCACATTCAGTAAAAAGAGAAAGATCGTTTATGGATTCGCCAAAGTCCTCGCCATCTAATAACAATTCCATGTTCAACAACTCTAAAAATAACACACCACGACCGAAAAAAGTTCATTTGCCAAATATAGATGATGCAAATAAAGTGTATAAAATGGATTTAATGCCGAAAACTCCTTTGACACAAGTTAGAATAGACATTGACAGGGAAGAATCCATGTTATAGTGATTTTTATTGTAAAGTGTTTTGGTTCAACTGTGATATATACTAATATACTCTATAGCGTGATTTACCAATTCCTTGTTGCTGAAGTCCTCATCAGTATTTTCATATTTGTGCCTCAAATTGATTGAAATACTGTTTGTGGATAATTTGATAATGTACATGATGTAAATGAATTATTTTCGACAGCGATTTATTTACTCGATTTTCGCGAGTATATCAAACTTGGATATATATCAATAAAGTAAAAAATCGCAAAAGAAATAAACCACCGCAAAAAAGTTACAGAATTCCTAGACTCCAATAAAATAGAATCTAACATTTTTAGAAGAAAATATAATCGAAAGTGATACAAAATTTCTGAAATAAGGAGGAAATATTTACTCAAACCATCCCCAATAAATTATTAATATGTGCCCATTGTTTGTAGCTTTAAACGTGTGTTCTGATATTATTTTTCTTTTGTATTAATATACATGAGACCTACAGAAGGTACTTCCATAAAGTAAACGGATATTGAATAAGTCTGAATAAGATTAATGCAATAGTAATTCATCATATACTTTTACAATTGATTGATTGATTTATTGGTGTTGGTATTTACTAAACCACCTGTGTCAAATGTTTAATGAATATTAAGGACGACAACAAATTTAACAATAAACCAAACCTGATGTTCCAATAAAAAGGTCCAGGATGAAGGGCGAAAACTGCAGAATACTGATGGAAAGGACGGCACATTACAAAAGGTCACAAATATTCCCTTGCAACATGGCACCTGAAAGAACCCCCCAAAAAGAAGTTGCAATGGTTCTTTGACAGACTGAAAACATGGCATTCTGCAAGCACAGGGTGTCGAAATATTCGTCATAAGTTCTCATTCAGACCCGTAAATATCGGCCCTTATAATTAATTATCACAAAAAAAGATCAAAGCAGAAATACACAGATTATCGATAATACACCTTACTAAAAAAAAAAAAACCTCTCATATTCATTTAGAAAACATCGAATAGAGCTATATTACATATAGTATAACCCTGTGTAAAGTATGTTCACGATTCATAAAGCAAAATAAAAAATATAAAATAATATAAAACTGAATATATGGTTTGCTTTGAAATTGGAGTTTCATTTATGCTGATCAGAATAAACTCCATTTATTTGCACAAAATCGTATTTGTCTATTTGTTTATCACGTTTACTGCGTTACTTTATGTTAATGTCTTGGTTTCTGCATCCATAGTTTTTGGTGGGGTTCGTGTTGCTCAGTCTTTAGTTTCTATGTTGTGTTTTGTGTTTTGTGTACTTTTGTTCGTCTTTTTGTCGTTTTTCGTTTTTTGCCATGGCATTATCAGTTTGTTTTCGACTTATGATTTTGAATACCCCGGCCCTTTGGTATCAATGGCCTCTTTCCTTGAGCTAAATTTCATAGCTGCTAGCATATAGAAATAGTTAAATGGGGTATGATTGCCAATGAAGCTATCGCCCAGAGACCAAAGGACGGGCATACATTGATACTGTAAATATAATGTTTCAAATCTTCGTGGAATGACATCAGCTTATACTGAAGTTTATTTAAGAAGGCATTTTACCCTTATATGCAATCTAACTATACTAGACCAAGCAATTGTGGTTGTTAACTCCAATAGAAATAACATTCAAAGCCATTTTTTTCAAATTTGAAACTAAGAACGATTTTCCTATAAACGAAATGAATTTGAGAGACAAAATAATGAATCTTTAACCTATCGAAAGTAAACCATAGAATGGTAAATTAAAAGGTAAAATAACAAAAATAACTAGGGGGCAGTAAAAAAAACATACTTGGAATAAAAAAAAATTAACCAATCCCTGCCATTTCTTATAGAATCTAATAGTGAAGTAATAACCAATCGGAGATACCAGACATACAATAAAGCACGCCAGACGCGCGTTATGATGGAAACGAAACATTCGATTTGTAAGCCTACATGTATATATGATTATGGAATTTCCATATAATTTGGTCTACGTCGAAATCGTGAAAATTAAACGTGAAAGATTCTGATAGACTTGGGATATACATGTAATAAGCGCGCCCGTATAACGATGCAAGATATTCTAGACATTGGTGATGTTGAAAACAGTAAGTTTTTCCTAATTACACATGTCCGTTGAATTCTGTGGCATATTATTCTTTAACTGTCATAGCACATTTCCCACTTTGAGTGTAATTTAGGAGTGGCACAAGGTTTTGATTTGTTTTTTGTAAGCAAACTGACAGCTATGTAAGTGACAGCACGTTCACAACAAAACATTGTCTGTTTTCGTAACTCAAGTATCTTCTTAAAGGTAAATTAAATAAGCAAGTACTTTTCATCTCGCCTATGGCACAAAGGCGTTCTGTTTCCGGCGTCAATATTTGTAAAAAATTATGATTAGGTTACACAGGTGGAACATATCTCTCTGTATTAACAGTTTAAGTTTTTAATTTTACTTTTCAAAATATCTTTACCCCAATGTCTTTTGATTTGTTTTATTTATTTTCCACTTATTTGAATTTCATTCATGATTTTTAAATGACAAAAATATGTGAATCTCTGCATCAACAGATAAAATATACCTTAAAAGGCTAATAAACACAAAAAAAAACACGAGCAACACGACGGGTGCCACATGTGGAACAGGATCAGTTACCCTTTCAGAGCACCTGCGATCACCCCCAGTTTTTGATGGGGTTCGTATTGTTCAGTTTGTCTGTTGGTTTTTTTCTTTTGACTTTGTCAGTATATTTTCGATTTATGAGTTTGAATATCCCTTTTGTATCTTTCGGATCTCTTTTGGAGATAGGAAAATGCAAGCATGTTCAGAATTACGAAAACAGGATTATTAACGTGTTAATTCTTCCCAATGTCAATACGTAAGCAACTATCAAAAAGATAATAACTATCAAAGACCAACACTATAAAGCTGGTTAATATGGGAATCTGGGACTTTTTGTTATTGTTTCTTGTTTTAGCCATTGCATCCTGCACATTTGTTATGTAACAGTGTGCCTAAAAAATTATACAAACACTCAACATATATATTAGATAGCGAGCAAAAATACCAGTGCTCCATTGTAGGAATTAAAAATCACCTGTAAATCAACAACACTTGCACGTGAGTATATTTGATATATTATGGCATTTTAACTATTTGAAAATTAGAATTTCCGTTTACATGGTTTAAGTCTGTTTAAATAGAACTTTTTTATCTTTTGTGTAAGACATGAAATTAAAAACGAAAATTGTTTTAATTTCAACGAAGAGTATTGCACAATATGTGTAAATACATTACTAGTCATTGGCTGATTTCGATAACAAGCAAACCAGCAATAGAATAATGATTTTTTGATTTTATGAGTCTTTTTTCACTATTGAAAACCCATTTTGTCATAATTTTTCTAGAAAAATATATCATTGTTATTTGATATTACGTTTGATATGGTACTTCAAAGGAGCAATTAATATTACTCGAGGAGTGTTAACTGCACAGCATCAGTGTAGTGGTGAAGATTTCGAAAGACTTTATGAGTCGATTCTCTTACAGCAAACAAATTAAGAAGGCAATCGCATAAATTTAAGAAGAATTGTTATGATTCATATCAATTGGTATTGACTACCGTAAATGTTCTGGTGTTACCAATCCTCATGTTTCCCAGAATGCATTGTTCCTTATGGTATCCAGTTCAAATATTAACAAAAACTAAACTTGATGAATAATCAGATTATCGGTAATAATGCTTAATTCTAAATGACAGACGTATAACACTTAACAAACACAGAACATTTACGGTGGAGTTTGTTTATTATTAAATAGAGCACGTTTTGTACGTCTTTTATTTCCTTACCTCTTGTGTATTGCCTTTATCCTATTATTAATATAAGCATTGTGTACATTTGTGCGCAATACGAATTTACTAATAAAAATCAGAAATAAAAAATGTCCGCGATATTGTCTAACAACCCAAAAGCAAAGCGTGCTCTGTTTACGTATTGCTGTGATATATGCATATAAAAATGTATATGTAAAATTTTTCATAGAAAGGTGCAAAGAAGAATCTCGACGTGATATCATATGCCACTCAATTTCTCGTATTGCACTCGAAGAAGAATTCCAAAAAACCTAAGGTAAAATTATTGTTCCGGCATGTAACTGTGAAATTGACTTGTTTGAAGGTACATTCGCACAGTTTAAAGGTATTTATAAGAATTCCAAATGAAAGTCCTATTATGATATCGCAATAAATTTTCTATCAGGTAGGCTATGATTGTTTTATTGAAACTCTTTCTCAAAAAACCTACTATAAAAGTCTGCTAGAAATTGGCTGAATAAACCGCATATAATGTGAATAATTGTATAACTTGTTTTTATTTCAAATATAATTTTATGATAAAGTATACGTTAAGAAGGATGATATTTTGTTTTCAAAATAATTGGCTCAGAATATGGACAGTAATTTTGATATATATGTATAACATATTGACTTTTTTTTGCTTATTAATTTTGACATTTAATATACTTTGACTACGGACTTAGAGTTTTATTTGATAGAAAAATATATGCATCGCTTTCAACAAAGAATGTATTTTTAAAACAGGACAGGAGCAAACCATCAGCACAAAAAATTGGTGGATGGTACATTATGTCGTCTGCTAAAAAACGACAAAAGACCCCAGAGAAACTAGATGAAGAGGCACCATCATGGAAAGAAATACTAGATGCTAATCAGACAAATCATGATGTTTATTCACAATTTGCCAGGTTTCCAAGAAATACAATCTTACCTAGTTTAAAGACAAGAAAGGCGCATGAACTAGAGGTAATATTGATCAAATGAGATATACAGATTACTCGTCTTCTTTGTGTAGAATTTTAAATTTATATATTATGTTTAGCAGACATCAATGAACACATACAGCAAACGAATAATTCAAAATACGAACTGTCATAGGCATACAAATGTCAAACATATAAGATATGGATTACATAACCGAAAGGGCTTTGAAATATTGTTGTTATTCGTATTTACGCCAAACAATTATTAAAAAAAATTCTTTTTCAAAAGAACGCTGCAATGAATTTTCTCAAATTGTAGTTTCAATGTTTATAAATATCGTTAAACACTACAGAAAATTAAATAAAAAAGGGAAAAAATGTTGCATTTGTCAACGCCACAGGAAACACACGACACAAACTATATGGCAAATTCAACCGCACAATTTTGCACAATTGATAAGATAAAGTTATAAAGTGTTAGTTCATTTTACGATTGATTGCACGCACAAACATTATCAGTATTTAATAAGTACTTCTATGTTTTTTTCCAAAAAGCTCAAGAAAAAATAACTTTAAACTACAGTAGTCAGAAACTGGAAACACACCGGTCAACCATGGACTCGTCTACGTGATATCTACATTTTGACCAAAGAACACAGAGAAGGACATTTGAAGTAGCCATGTTCATAGAATAAACTTTTTTATTTCAGCTGCAGCGAAATTCACCACGACCAGATTTATATCAACTGAATAACAACTGGGCTGTGTGATATGAGTAGGGAACACTACCATTAATGCAAGAACAATTTAAGGTGGTACCAAACACCTCGACTAAAATTAATTTGGCTCGTTAAATTTTCATAAAATTTGGACAAAATATTTACTTTGACCCTTTGACAAAAATATTTTGTCAAAAAACTTGAACCACACACTTTATCGGAAAACATTCAATGGATATATAGCAGTTTTACAAACACTAATTTTGATCATTGAAAAGCTTATTTTTTTCTTAACAATAGAACGTGATTAAAACGTTCAGCTGATTTTTAAAGAGTTATCTCCCTGTAGTATTATGTGCCACCTTAATACTTATGAAAATATACTTGGTTAGATATGTCAAAGATACCAGACTTTGATTAGCATTACTAATACTGCAGTGTATTCTGAAAGTGCTTATATCTCTTTTCCGTGCAAGTGTAACCAGTCCTTTGGGAAGACAATGTTTTATCAATGATTTTCATATAACGATCGATGTATATATTTTTCCTTTTGTTGATATTTTTGTTCATCCTTTTCATCTTTACAGAGGTGAGATGTATTTAGATGTTAAAATATGTTATAACTGTTGTAACTATATTGAGATAATGTCTTTCAAAGTATGCACAAAGCATATTTCTTATAATTTTAATCATTATATTATTCTTGGGTATAAACTTTTATTGTATTCTTAAATCTTTACGATATATGTTGATACATTTGTACAATGTTTTTTCTTCGTTAGAATAAAATGATCATGTCTGATTAAGCATTGAACATTCCAAAGGAGGACTACAAGTTAGATTAGTCAAGTATTAAAATTCCGACAAAAATGTAAGCTTCTAACTCTCTTAAAGTAGTAGCTTTAATTGTCATGGTCATGGATACAAGGAAATCGGTATATACTGTAATAAGGCATGACTTTTTTTTTTACTTAAAACAAAACGTCGTTACAGCCTCCCTATAAGTCCATTCCATTATAGCAGCGTTTAAACACTGAACAAATACAAGCTTTGTAGACTAACTTGACATTCTTGTGATCGTCAATCCCCTTCGACAAACAGTAACATTAAAATACACTGACAGTCAATTTGTGGGATTACTGACTTAAGACCGACACATAAGTTTTTCAGTTTGAACATGAATGTCATGCAAAACTTTTCGTTCCAATGAAGTTTTTTAAACGCAAAATTGAAACACTTCATCTACTGACATTTGAACCAAAATAGCGTTGTAAACTTCTATGTCAATTGGTCTCTGGTGGAGAGTTGTCTCATTGGCAATCATTACACGTCAACTTATTTTTATGTTAATACGTATCTTCTCTGATATTTGTTTGTTTTATTAATATATCTTTAGGTTAAGTAAGTAAGTTGTATTTTTGTATTAAATAAAGGCAACAGTAGTATACCGTTGTTCAAAAGTTATAAATCGATTAAGAGAATACAAATTCGGGTTACAAACCAAAACTGAGGGAAACACATCAACTATAAGAGGAAAACAACGGAACAACAGAAACACTGAACTGCAACAAAAACAACGCCAACATACATAGAAACGGACTATTTGATAACAACTGCCACATTCCTGACTTGGTACAGGACATTTTAAGAATAAATGGTGATTTGAACCTGGTTTTATGGCTAGCCAAACCTCCCGCGTATATGGCAATGTTAAAATATATCGCCAAAATGACATTTTAACCTTTACTTGCAATTGCGAGAAGAAGCTGACGTAGCATATATTTTATTGATGGTGTATATCTTATTGACTCAGCCTTTTGATTAGAACGACCGGTGCAAATTAAAATAAGTCATCTGCGATATGTCATTATATTTAATGAATCATAAGTTAAGAATTTTAAGTTGTACACTTACTAATATGTCAATGATTTAGAATTCCTAATTCTGTTCAGGTCCAATTAATTCGGATGCCGACCCATATTTGATATATTTAAGATTCCAAATAAAGGCAACAGTAGTATACCGCTGTTCGAAACTCATAAATCGATAGAGATAAAAACAAATCCGGGTTACAAACTAAAACTGAGGGAAACGCATCAAATATAAGAGGAGAACAACGACACAACAAAAACACAACATTAAAATGTAACACACACAGAAACGAACTATAATATAACAATGACCATTTTCATGACTTGGTACAGGATATTTTAAGAAAAAAATGGTGGGTTGAACCTGGTTTTGTGGCATGCCAAACCTCCCGTTTTTTGGCAACGTCAAAACTTTTCCTGTTGAGGCCTTTAAAGACCTATTTCGAACTGAAATTGGTATCATACATTTATATCATGACAGAGTAAGAAGAACAAAGATTTATACATTATTACAAAACATACAAACGTTTTCAGAGAAGTAGAGCTTTTAAATACCGGATTATTTTGTTCGCAACCAATAAAACGTCTTAAAGATTTACAATTTCGATCATTGAACTTTTGGACTTTTGAATATAAGTTAAAATGACTGAAAGTAAAGAAATAAGAGCTATGGATAAGGAAGACATATTCCTTAATTTTAAATGATTTTCAAAATTTCAAAAAATAAATATCCGTATTTTCATGCAAGTACTGAAAAACAGGCTATTGGGAAAGCTATCCACCCAGTGGTAATAATAGCATTAACGGTACCAATGTAAATGCATCAGATGTCTCGTCAATTATGCTCAAAGCCAAAATACTTGAAAATCCATACAAAAAAAAACATAACAAAAAAGGACCAAAAATAAAACAAACCAGGGGATGCAATCAGAGCTATGCATGAGGAAAACACATTTATTGATGTGAAATGATTTCAAAAATTTGATTACAGAATATCAAAAAAACCAAATCGTGCTTTTATGCAAATACCGAAGTACTTACTACTAGGCTGGCAATAACCCTTGGGACGAACAGTCCGACAACAGGGGTATTGACCAAGTGGCAGTTATTATATATATTAATGGTCCTAATTTTTACTGCACCAGATGCGCATGTCGATAATCAAAATCCTTAATACAAAATTTGAAGAGTTGATAAAACCAAACACTACCAAACATACAGTCAACATGCAGACTTCTTATACGTTCAGGCATTTCACATCCAATTTTTTATGGAAATATTCTTTATAAAGCACAAAAATGTCAGTATTCACCTCTAAAGCTAACAAAACCTTTAAATAGACTTATTAAGAAGGGATATAGTTACGATACTGTTGTCAGGTCATTAAAGATTGCATATTTTGGCGTTAATATTGATTCACTTATAGGGTCTTTGCATCGGCACTAAACACATTTATTTAAAAACCAGTTGTTGGCATGACACGGGTTATGTTCTTCTCATATATGTTATGATGGTATGATACCAAACCCCTGACGGGAAGGATTGTGCCTGATATTCATATGATGAAGACATAATCTTTCAATCAGTTTAATTGAAGTCTGGAGCTGGCATGTCAGTTAACTGCTAGTAGTCTGTTGTTATTTATGTATTATTGTCATTATTTTTATTTTCTTTGGTTACATCTTCTGACATCAGACTCGGACTTCTCTTGAACTGAATTTTAATGTGCGTATTGTTATGCGTTTACTTTTCTACATTGGCTAGAGGTATAGGGGGAGGGTTGAGATCTCATAAACATGTTTAACCCCGCCGCATTTTTGCGCCTGTCCCAAGTCAGGAGCCTCTAGCCTTTGTCAGTCTTGTATTATTTTTAATTTTAGTTTCTTGTGTACAATTTGAACTAGTATATATATTTGTTTAGGGGCCAGCTGAAGGACGCCTCCGGGTGCGGGAATTTCTCGCTGCATTGAAGACCTGTTGGTGACCTTCTGCTGTTGTCTGTTCTATGGTCGGGTTGTTGTCTCTTTGACACATTCCCCATTTCCATTCTCAATTTTAGTCAAACCAGAACAAAATATCAGCACTATGTTTGAGAAAGATACATTGCGCAAACTCAAATGATGTATAGACGACCATTAAATACAAGTACACTCAGTATAATATTAGATCTCTTATGTCTTAGATACTGAAATTAAACGAAATGAGAAAAGGCCAACAACATCTTATATTTCTTCTATAATTGTACCCGTAATATAGCAGGCTGAAAAACATTAATTATTGAAAATACCTAGTACGTAGACCACCAGATACTGTATTTTGGAAGAATTTTTCCAAAAATTATATTCAAATTGGGTGCCTTGGTAGCGTTTACACTGGACATTTAATTAATTCAAAATCCCAGACCGGCCAGAATCGCTATTATTCTTAACTAAATATCTGTTTGTAACGTTCTTAAACTTTTCTTTATACAACTTTATCAAAACAAGCCTTATCAGGGAACAAGTATTGGAACATGTATTTTCATTACTAAGTTTTATTTTGTACAACACATTAACAAATATTTAATCAATGAATGGTTGGTTTTCAAGGAGAAATTTTTTTAAGTTGCCATTGAATGTACTCCAATGAAAGCATTAATTTTGTATTTATTCAATAGGACAGTTCACTTGAAAAATGTTAAATAGCCTGATTAACACCTACTAATTCGTGGGGGGGGGGGGGGGGGGGGTCGCAAAAGTTGCTCTTGTTCTATCAGATAGGTTTTGTGTTTCTATTGGAACCTACACTGAAAATCTCCTACAATTACTGTCTGTTAGGGAATTAATGAATAAGAAAAAGACAATGTAAATAAAAGTATGAATTGTGTTTTCAAACATAGTTACTGTAGTATGATTGAATATGGGATATAAAAGATCATGTTTTGTTTCAAATATGATCGAATTAAAAGGAGTATAACATTTTGTTTTGTTGTTGTTCGGTTTTTAATTTATAGGTTTATGATATAATAGGGCACACACTTTGTTTAACTGTCCTAAAATTCGCTTATCAGATCTGCAGAAAAATATTTACGGCTGGACAAGAGCGAATAATCAGCCAAAAAGTAAATAAATAGATGGATGCTAAAAAAAAAAAAAAATACGAAAAAACTTGAGGAAGAGGCGCCATCCTTAAATGAATTACTAGACGTCAATCACACAAAGCATGATCATTTGTAGAAAAAAATACAAGGGTCCCTAGGATTACCATTTAACCTAGTATAAAAACAATAAGAGTGCATAAATCATTGGTTAAATTTGTTAAATGAGTTATAGGGAATAAACCCTTTTAATGCTAGTATTCACGAAACAGAGTCTTCATATGAAATTGTAATAGAACTAAAAATAAAAAAAAAAAAAAACTGCCTGACATATGACAGTGAAAATTCCACAAACACAAACAAATACAAAATGTAATTTAAGATTTTAATATAAAACAAAAATCTGAAAGTTTTGTTGGCAGTAATACTACATAACAGAGGAATAGCTTTCTTTTGACACTTGACAAACCATACAGTACGAAAAAAAAGAAGATTTGGCAATCCTACTGCACCCAAACGACAAAAAAAAATCAAGAAGAACAAAATCAAAAATCAATTAATAGGGTCTAATCACTAAAACACGTAAATGCAAGTGAATAAAAACAGATTTATTATTACGTAATACATATTTTGACGAAACGTTCATAGATAATTTATTTCAACCCATAGAAAATAGATAGATACCGGACAAAAGCCGAACAGCAATAAACTATCCTAAGGAGGTTCGCATGACTTGGATATTTACATTTTCACCAACACAGAGTAGGACATACATGACTTATTGTCATCTATTTTGTCGATTTGTTCATGCTAAGATAAATTTTTCTTTTTAATTTGTTATAATTAGTTATCAAAGGTACCAGGCTTATAATTTGTTACGCCAGACGCGCGCTTCGTCTACATAAGACGTATCAGTGACGCTCAGATCAAAAATGTTAGAAAGCCAAACAAGTATAAAGTTGAGAGCATTGAGGACCCAAAATTTCAAAAAAGTTGTGCCAAATACGGCTTAGGTAATATATGCCTGGGATAAGAAAATCCTTAGTATTTCGAATAATTTATACTTTTGTAAACAGTAAATTTATAAAATTGACCATTTAATTGATATTCATGTCAACGCCGAAGTGCTGACTTCTAGGCTGGTGATACCCTCGGGGACGAAACGTCCACCAGCAGTGGCATTGACTTGTTGTAAGTGTTGCCATATAAAAAATTAAAAAATTAAAACGAAATACAAAAACAACAAAGAACATCTTATTGGAAATATTTCGACGATATGATATGTGGTATACCATTTGACTACAACCCTACTACTATATCAAAACATTTCCTCAAAAATCTGTTCAGCTACATAAAAACATAAAAGTCTGAAAGCAGTAATATACCACCACTTCGGAAAGAGGGCTCACTTGCATCTGATTCAAACACAAAAGCAAGTATATTAAATGAACAGTTCCAAAAAGCATTCACACCTGTAACAGATGACACAATACCAGATAAGGGAGTCAGTAAACATCCACAGATGCCTGATAGTAAAACACAAAAACAAGGCATCGAAAAACTTCTTAACAATATCAATATTAACAAAGCAGCTGGGTCTGATCTAATCCATGGAAAAATCTTGAAAGAGTGCAAGACATCTATCACTTCCATCTTGTCAATCATATTTCAAATATCACTGAACTCTTGAAAGATCCCAGATGACTGGCGTCACGCAAGTGTATGTCCAGCATTCAAAAAAGGCGACAAACATGATCTTATAAATTATCGCTCCATATCATTAACATGCATCTGCTACAAACTTTTAGAACATAGTAATATCATGAAACATTTAGAAAAAAATAAAATTCTATTTGACTTACAACATGGTTTTCGATCATGCCGTTCGTGTAAAACTCAGTTAATATCATTTATTCAAGATTTTGCAAATTCAAATAATAAAAACATTCAAACGGACATCATAATAATGGATTTCGTAAAATCATTTGACAAAGTTTCACACCATCACCTCATGTATAATGTATTTTAACAAACAGAACGCAAACAGTAGTCCTTGAAGGTGAAACATCAAATACCATTCCTGTAACATCTGAGGTACCACAAGGCACAGTGCATGGACCAATTTTATTTTTAATATTCATTAATGATTTGGCAGAATATATCGAACATAGTACATTGATATTGTTCGCAGATGACAGCATTATTTAAGACACTAGATGACGCATATAAATTTCAGTCTGATTTGGAAGCGGCCGGCAGATGGGAGCGAGACTGGCTCATGCATTTTCAACCTGATAAATACAACGTTCTAAGTGTAACACAAAAACGAAAACCTTTAGACTTCACTTAAAAATTACCTAATCACTCTCTCGAAAAAGTTGACTCTACAAAATATTTAGGCCTAACTCTTCAATCAAACTTAAAATGGGATAAACATATCGATAACATGACATCAAAAGCAAACCAGTCTCTTGGATTTATTCACAGAAACCTTCATATAGCCGCACCTTAAAGTTAACGCTCACGCATTTAAAGCTCTTGTCCGACCAAAATTAGAGTACGGCTCAACCATTTGAGATCCACATCAAAACTGAAAATTTCACTAATTGAAAAAGTTCAGAGAAAAGCAGCCCGCTTCACATGCAACCGCTTCCTCCATAACACCAGCTCAGTTTCTGATATAAAAAAGACCGATCGAAACAACATCTGATACACAAATTTAATAATACTTTTAGATATTTGGATGATATTTTGGCTCTCAATAATGACGACTTCAGTATGTATACTAAAGAAATTTATCCTGTTGAACTTACTTTAAATAAAGCTAATACTAACAATGACCACTGCCCTTTCCTCGATCTTGATATCTATATCATTAACGGAAAGCTTAATACTAAAATATATGATAAAAGAGATGATTTTTCATTTCCTATCGTTAATTATCCATTTTTAGATGGTGACGTTCCCTTGACACCATCTTACGGTGTTTATTTATCTCAACTTGTACGATTCGCATGTATGTAACAATGTTTTAGATTTTAACGAGAGAAATTTATGTATTACTGAAAAATTATTACACCAGGGTTTTCGATATCACAAACTAGTCAAAACATTTACTAAATTTTATCATCGGTATAAGGACATCATTCGTAAATATAGCTCAACATGCAGACTTCTTAAACGTTCAGGTATTTCACATCCAATTTTTTATGGAAATATTCTTTATAAAGCACAAAAATGTCAGTATTCACCTCTGAAGCTAACAAAACCTTTAAATAGACTTATTAAGAAGGGATATAGTTACGATACTGTTGTCAGGTCATTAAAGATTGCATATTTTGGCGTTAATATTGATTCACTTATAGGGTCTTTGCATCGGCACTAAACACATTTATTTAAAAACCAGTTGTTGGCATGACACGGGTTATGTTCTTCTCATATATGTTATGATGATATGATACTAAACCCCTAACGGGAAGGATTGTGCCTGATATTCATATGATGAGGACATAATCTTTCAATCAGTTTAATTGAAGTCTGGAGCTGGCATGTCAGTTAACTGCTAGTAGTCTGTTGTTATTTATGTATTATTGTCATTTTGTTTATTTTCTTTGGTTACATCTTCTGACATCAGACTCGGACTTCTCTTGAACTGAATTTTAATGTGCGTATTGTTATGCGTTTACTTTTCTACATTGGCTAGAGGTATAGGGGGAGGGTTGAGATCTCATAAACATGTTTAACCCCGCCGCATTTTTGCGCCTGTCCCAAGTCAGGAGCCTCTAGCCTTTGTCAGTCTTGTATTATTTTTAATTTTAGTTTCTTGTGTACAATTTGGAGTTTAGTATGGCGTTCATTATCACTGAACTAGTATATATATTTGTTTAGGGGCCAGCTGAAGGACGCCTGCGGGTGCGGGAATTTCTCGCTGCATTGAAGACCTGTTGGTGACTTTCTGCTGTTGTCTGTTCTATGGTCGGGTTGTTGTCTCTTTGACACATTCCCCATTTCCATTCTCAATTTTATTAAATTGGTACCCACTTGAAATAAGGCATGATTTAAGATACAGACTTGTTTTCTTATACAAAATTATACACAAAATTGTTGCAGTCTCTACATTTAACCTTTTGGTCCCACTAGACAATAGAACCAGACATCACAATCCACACTCATTTAGGCAAATACAAACATCTAAAGACAGTTATAAATATTCATTTTATCCTCTTATAGTTATAGATTGGAATCATTTGCCACAACAAATAGTTTCATGCAGTACAGTACATGGATTCAACAGTATGTTCTCATGACCTGCTCTAATCCCTATTTTCTTCATTTAACTATTACTGTTTTCAAATGTATATAGTTATATCTAAATGTTATTTTTCAAATGTACATATATTATTTTGATTTTTGATTTTATTTCTTTTTTCTGGCTACCTTGTTAATTATAAATTAAATTTTATAGTCGACGCCCGGCGAATAATCTTCAATAAATGAAGGATCGCTAGAAACTTAAAGAAGAAGAAGACCGTTAGTTTTATCAATTCAATGTTTCATGTCGGGGCCTTTTATAGCCGATTATACGGTATGGTTTTACTCATTATCGAAGGCCGTAGGGTTGCACATAATTGCTTACATCTACTTCATTGGAACGTTGGTGGATAGTTGTCTTATTGGCAATCATATCACATCTCCTTATTTTTATTCATCATGTTTATATGTTATATGGTAGACATTCGTAGAAAAGGAATATTGTAATGATTATCTTTGATAGAACTATAATCACAAATGGTTGGATAGTCGCCACGTTAGCTCTTAATGCATTTCTTAACATTAAAATATAATATGATTTAAAGTTCATAAAACGGTCAACAATTAAGCTATTTTCAGTATAAAAAGTAAAAAGAGCCAAAAAAGGTTTATGTTTTGTATTTTTCATGGTGAACGGGTATGAATTGTAAATGAAATATTAATGCATCAAATACGTGTTCAATCGTTAAAGAACGTATAACTTAAGTTGCTTCCCTTCACGCCTACATATTGAAGTTTGAATATGGTAGCTTTCTTGAAAATAGGGAATGAAAAACTATATGAGACTACGTAGTAACTAAGTCATCAATGTTTTAATTAACCCATTATCATAAGGTTAATGATCGCAAGCGAACCTGATTTTGACCCGTACTAGGAGCACATGTCATGCGGATGATATAGGTTTTATTCGTTTTTATATGCGATTACAGCGTACACTTGCCCTTAGCTTCATATAGTTATTAGGCCAAACCAAAACCCATTCAATCGGTTTTCTAAAAAGTCAAAAACTTTAGAATACCTGTCCAGATTATAAAATACTTGGACTACGAATATTGGAAGTTAATTGATACTTTGGACCGTATTTTTCTGGACTGTTGGACATTTATTTTAAAGTTATTTTGACAATGCCTATTGGTATCTTTGTAAAATGGCCTGGAATGTTTTCATTCGAGATAACATATGAGAAGAAACTTGTTATTCACATATAACATGTTGAAGGGCTTTCGTAAATATTTCCAGCTTTATCAGATGGTATGTTACATATGTAGTACTTTTTCACTAATTTTCTTTCTTTATTTTGGCTTGCATACACATATATAGGGGGTTCTGGCATATAAAATTATAAGAACAAAAACACATTACTTACTATGTATTTATATATACTTAAAATATTTATCATTGTGTTTACAAGCATAATTATCTAAACAAACTCCTTCACCCTCTATTTTATTTTTCTGTAACTAATGTTTTTAGTATTATAGGATTTCTTCTTCTCCTTCAATTTACGATAGCGTTGTTGCCATTGCCGAGCTGTTTTTCTGTTGTAGCCAGATTTGTCATATTGGTTCGATGTTTTATAGATCGTTTTTTGGTTTGAGTAAGCGTAGTCTTTGTTTCCTTGTTTGTCATTACTGTTGTCGTTACCAGTTTCTTTTGTGATGTAATCTTTCACAGCACTCTGTATTTGGTACCTTTCTGGGTAAAATGAGAAAAAAATATTTCCAAAAGATGAAAACTAGAAAAATCGAATCATCATGAGTCAATTAAAAAAGAAGACAAATCTATAGTTAAAAGCAAATTGTGGTTAACGGTAAATGAAAGAGAAACACAAAAGCAGACATGTGATTTTACAATACATCAAGTCCCTACGTATTTTAACCATCATACAATTTTATCAACAAGTCAAATAACGATTTAAACCGTTTGAAACTTTTCCTTCATACATACGTTTTCTTTTTTATTGACCATGTATTCCTTTGCTTTAAACCCCTATATCGAAGATGTAAAAACCCTTCAATAATTACCCACTCTGCCGGGTTGTTGTCCGCACTTTGTTTTCATAGTTTAACGACATTCAGTTCTTTTTTGTTAGTAAAAAAATTCAGAGAAGACTTAATTTCGTTAAAACGGAGTCTTTTTGTAGATAAAACGCGCATCTGGCGAACAAAATTTAAGCCTGGTATCTTTGATGATTTGTTTTGGTACAACTAAGTTATTTTTAACGCAGTTACATTATGTTTTCTTCATAATTGTATCTTTGCTCTGTTGATATATTGCTTTACATTAAAATCCCATTAATATATTTATAAGAGTAAAATTAAGATTCGAATAAAATCATGAAAATGTTAGACTTGAGAATGGAAACGGAATGTGTGTCAAAGAGGCAACAACCCGACCAAAGAACAGACAACAGATTAAGGCCACCCATGGGTCTTCAACGCAGCGAGAAAATCCCGCACCCGGAGGCAAGCTAATAATGTATACCAGTTCAGCAAATGGGCCGATTTAAAAGTAAATACACAATCATGTTATCTGTTTGCTCATCTTACTGAATACTTACCAATTTTGCCTATTCTTAGTTTCCCTTTCTCAACATACAGATGGACACGTATATCAAATTTACCTGAAATTAGATAATATAACAAGTATAAATTGCATATTACACTACGATTAACTTCAGTCTGTTGTTTGTTCAAATTTCTGGACATTTTATCACATCTATTAAATGTTTTGTTGGATTTCAAATTCTTTTGTCTTTAAGAGAGAAACACGTCATAGCCAGTGCATTGTGCAATACCCCAACACTCATTCATTTCCAATTATCAAAGATCTGAAATGCAGGATTGCCTTTATCTCAAGACTATTTTTAAAATTTCAATGAAAAAAAAAAAAAAAATTAAAACACAGATTTTTAAAATATGAATTTAAAGTTAGAGACATGAACTAGAAAACAGATAATGCAGCTGTTTGCCTTCGTATAACAATTTTAGAAAGTATCTGACTAACCTGTGTATTATAATAAACAAAACTACCGGTTCTATGCTATACAATATTTAAAGATATGACGGAATACATAGTGTTACCGATCTTAATATATATTTTCTTTTTTTTTCTTTTCTTCTTTTCAGCGTTTGGATTGTTTTTGTTTTAATAAATAGAAACATCTTTACAGGATATCTTGCAATTGTACCAATGCTAATGTTAAAAGCTATATGATATTTAAAGAGATGAAAGAACACTTACAGTGGTATCGTCCTTCAATGATATTTCGTTATTTTTTCTTATCCTCTTTTCACAATTTTAATTTTTTTTTTAGATGAATGAAAACAATCTTCACAAAATATCTTACAACTTACCATCTTTTCCTACAAAACAAGACAAATGTCATTGAATAATCAAGTTTGGAGTGATATATTATAACAAATACACAAAGATGTTTTCTCTGTTTTATCTCGTGGTTTAACAACACAATGTGGGATTGATGTTGATCTGTCTTAATTTTCCTTGAAGCGTTAAGTAGACAATTTTGTCAGTTTTATATGTCCTTTTGGTATCTATCGCCTCTTTAAAAAAATTAAATGATTTAATGATGTTTGCTACTCTGTTTCAAAATAACAAGCTTTTTAAAAGACTGTTCTTAAATGATAGTATATAAACAAAGGAACTAAAAAAGCAGAAAAAAAATGAAGGGTCCGTGTGCTTGTTTTCGAGATATAAGTCATTGAAAATTTGGCGGGAAATGATTCTCTCTAGATTTTTCTACCTTTTAACATTGGCCGCTTTTTTGTTTCAAAAACTATGAAAAAATAACAAGGATTTTACAAGATTTTCAAATATGGCTTTTTAAACTATATGTAATAAAATTATGAAAAGAAAAGTAGGGGTTAGTGGGCAAAATTTTTTAATGGCTATACATGGATAAAACCAGAGGATTCTGAAAATCGGGTAAATATTAAAAAACAAGAGGAGCAAATTGAGAATGAATACGACAATGGTGAAAAAAGGTGATTGAGTGTTTCTTTAACATGTTTAAGGAGGTAGGCTTAGTTTAAGTGACATCACTGTTAAAATTACAAGTATGTTTGTAACAACCGTTTTAGAAAATATTTTTTGAAGAGAACCCTAAAAAAGCATTGACGAAAATGACTTTTATAAACATTTAACCACTACACCCCTTAAGTGGAAACCACATACATGACATTTAAAATCAAAATGAATATTCCTCGGTTTTTACATTTGTAGGTAATGATACTATTTCAATAAATTTCTTTATAATATCAATATGTACAAGAAAAATGGGACGAAATTTTATCCATATAAACAAAAAAAGAATGTGTGGTATGATTGCCAATGAGACAACTCTCCACCAGAGATCAGATGACGTAGAAGTTAAAAACTATAGGTCACCGTCCGGCCTTCAAATATAAGCAAAACCATTCAGCATAGTAAGCGATAAAAGGCCCCGAAACGACAACTGTAAAACAATCTAACGAGAAAACTAACGGCCGGATTTATGAAAAAAAAAAAAAAAAAAAGAAAAAAAAAAAAAAAAAAAAAAAGAAAAATATGGCCATTATGTACATGTAGCATGGTTTTTAAGTATTCCAGAAAGTTGATGATCGATGGTCGTAAAAACTGCTCACACGCATGCTAATAGGAAACTGGATATATAATAGAAAGCTCTGATCTGATGTTCCTGAGAAAAAATACGATGAAAATGTGACGGGACGAACAGAGGTAAACCAGTATATCCTCACTATCTCAAAGTTTTGATACATTAAAGTATAATCATGTGTTATATATGTGCATACCTAATATTCCTTTATTATAATCGGATCAATAATTTGGAGCATTTTTACAAAAAAATCTAAGTTTTTTGTGTGGCGTTGAAGGCTACATTTTTGTCTGATTTCACATCGCTTGTATTTAAATTTATCATAAGAAGTACTGTTTCGAATGTTGCCTTTACTTTACTTCTAGTCCTATTTGAAACGCAATCTTCCAAATGTCTGAAAGGCAGTTTTTTTGTCGTCTGATATATATTCATAGAATATTATTCGAGTACACAAAAGCACAGCTTTGTGACAACAATTTCATTAATATTATACACATGCTTATAAAATGAAAAACCGATAATATACAAACTTACCAGTTACAAGGTGCATAGTATATTAACAAGGCTATTTAGTACAACGCAAATGGAACTAATATATATGTAGGAATTATTTGAAATATTTATAGCAATACCTGGTGGTCCTTGTGGTCCAGCAAGTCCCTGCGGTCCAGTAAGTCCCTGCGGTCCAGTAAGTCCCTGCGGTCCAGTAAGTCCTGTAAAAAAGACAAATAAAGATAAAATTATTATAGCGTAATCGTGGTTTTGCGGGATTACCAAACATAGGATAATCAACTACATAATTATACCTAAAATGTGATTCGGACTTATCCTCCTGAGTTTAAACTAACATACACAACAATTGACGAAAGCATAACGTAAAATACGTCAATAAAACCTGAGGTCTTATATTTGTGCTTTTTGTGAAATAACGATATATCTTAAAAAAATATAGGAAGAAATCAATCATATCACAAACTAAATCCACAAAGGATCAAAACTCCCAAATTTGATTTATGAATCTTAGGAAAAACAAAACTTCCACTCAATGTTATCATTTTCCTCCTTAAGTAGCAAACGACGAGTGCAGCAGGCTAAAGATGTTTGGAGTAAAATTGGTTTAAAATGTTGCTATGCGAATAAATTTCTGGAGTACCAACTTCAATTTATTTTTTACTGTCTGTATACCTCTCTGGAACATGCTAATTATTCGTAAATATATACAGCTAGATCAGAGAAAGTCGTAGAAAAATTTTTCAAAGGAATCGATTGATATGCAGCAAAGATTGTCACTTTTGAAATTAAGTTACTAAGCAAAATCAAACAAACCTTTTCTCGATGTAAACATTGAATGTAAATAGATCGAGAAGACCGTAAATTCTTGAACAAAACTCGAGACGACCTTTTCTTAAAATTGTATACAAATAGTAGAAAGATACCTACTTTATAAAAAGGTACATTAAATGATGCTCAATAGCCAGTAGATACATTTGTCTTTCAAAATACAACTGGAACATAAGGATCGTAATGGTGCTATGTTGATAAATTAACCCGTTTATAAGAGCTAAATTGACAGTGTGGTATCCCTACAATTGCCTCCATTTTTACGATTGTAAAAACTAGGTGGCGTAATGGGGGAGATAATTTTGACGAAGTAGAATCCTGAATGCACTGTATAACAGGTCAATATTGATTTAAATGATACGCCACTTAACCCTATTCTAAGTATCTATATTTGTTTTTAACTAATGAAAAAAACAAAACAAAAGCAAATAGCAGAATTCAATATTGATATATATAAGGCGTAAATATTGCCAAGAGCATTGCTTTGATGGCAAAAATATATGCAATCATGTTAAACCTTTAGTCTGACTGTAACATGATTTTCTTTTCTTTGATAAATAAAACCGATAATTTCAATCAAGAGTCTTTGAAACTTTATAACGTGATTATGTCGAAAGTATATGTGTTAAAATTTGTTAAGGGCGGAAGAACATATTCAACATTATGGTTGTCTCCTTTTAACAGTGTTCTATAAATTTATTGTTATAGTTATGGAATGGAAAACAGATAATGCAGCTGTTTGCCTGTACTATGCTATATGATATTTCAAAAGATGAAGGAATACATACAGTTTAACCGATCGCAATAGATATTTTTTTCTTTCTTCTTTTCAGCCTTTTGATTTTAGTTTTTGAATGATTTACTTCATCTCCACAAATTGTCTTACAATTGTGTTGCAATTAAGCACGATCTGACCAAGTAAATTCTGTTGAAGCAAGGCTTATAGTGCAATGCTATACGATATTTAAAGATGTGAATGAACACATACAGTGTAACCGTCCTTAAATGACCTTTCTTTCTTTTATACTAACCCCATTTTACCGTTTTGATTTTTTTTTAATTAAATGAAAGCAATTTTCAGAAAATATTTTACAACTAACCATCTTTTCCTACAAAACAAGACATATAAATAATTTAGTTTTAAGCGATAACTTATAGTAGAAACGAAAGCCAAAGGGCCCCTTTGCATCATCACATGGTGATATTTACAACACGAAGGGTTCCAGATGTGGAATAGAAACTGCTTACCCTTCCGGAGCACCTGTTTATAACTGCTTTTTGGTGGCATTTGTGTTGCTCAGTCTATATATTACTCAACGCAACAAAGTTGCAAAGGTATACAGTGTTTGAACCGTCCGTCCGTCTGTCCGTCTCTAAGTCAGTCTTGTTCTTGCCATCGCAACATCTCTGAAACCACACAACCGAATTGCATGAAACGTTGTAGATTATAAAGACATACTATGTAGATGCGCGAAATCGGCAGGAAATTAAGATTAAATTTTTTTTCTAGGAGTTATTTCCTTTTTTGAACTTATAATGTTTGCCTAAATATACTACTGAAACATTTTGTCATTGCAACTTCTCTTAAACTACAAAATAAAATTTCATGAAACTTTATAGATGATAAGGACATACTATGTAGAGGTGCATATTGAAAGGAAATAATGATTCAATGTTTTTCTATTCCTCTTTGAACTAAGAATTTTGTCCTAAGTATACTTCTGCAACAGTTTTTCATTGCAACTCTTCTGAAACCACACAAGAGAATTTCAAGCAATTTTAAAGATGATATGGACATACTATGTAGATGTGCATATCAACAAGAAATTATGACCTTATTTTTTTCTAGGAGTTATGCCGCTTTGAATTCAAAATTTGGCGATAATCATTATGTACTACTTCAACAGTTTGACAGCTTAACTCAACTAATACCACATCAGAGTTTTAGGAAACTTTGTAGTTAATGAGAACATAATATGTGGAGATGCATATCGACAAGAAATTTTTATCAGTAGACTTTTGTTAAAGTAATAATACTTTGAACTGAAGTATCTGGTCAGATATCGTTTACCTAGTGACAATGTTGGTGCATGGGATGTGTGAGTACGCTCACAAAGGTATTTTTAATTCTAATTGTAGTGTTTTGTGGACTTGTTGTCTTTTCGTTTTTTGCCATGGAGTTGTCAGTCATTCCTCGGCGTTTTATTTTTCAATTTCCCCGCAGTATCCTCGGCCTCTTTTAAAATGCACATGGACAAGAAGATGGTGCAACCGGTTGCAGATAATAATCAGATATTAGAGTATTTCTATAATTTGAAAAACAAGGGTTAAGGGACATATTTCTTAAGAACCACTAAACAATTATAACAACAATTTTCTTAGATATATATTGAAAGTTTCTTAGATACAGAAAAACCAATTTAAATTAAGGCATTGACGAAACTGATATTTACAAACATATTAATAATTTAAACAATCGCTTTCTGTAACCAAAGTCTACCTCTTAAAGTAGAAACCATATTCGTGAAATTAGAAAGAAGTCATTTTTCGGTTATTATATTTGTTTTAAAGATACTTATTCAATACACACTTCAGAAAAATATATAGCTCACAAATGATACCCTCGTTTGAAAGTGTTCAGTAATCAGGAATTTGATCATCGATTGATAGAAAAACTCACCACACGATTAAGAATTAAGCTTAATACCCAATTTTAGGATGCTCTGATTCATATTTCCTTCGAAAATTGAAAAAAATCGTATAATCATGACAGGTTCAAATACCTTTACTGTACTTAATCATAATGTAATAGTTTGAAAAGGCAGTTTTTAATTACTCAAAAACTATTCTTAAAAATTTATTCGACAAAATAAAACCACAGTTTTTTTGGAACATAGAGACACAAGAAATCCATATATCTATGAAATGGATAATCGATTGAAAAATGATTTAATTTTTATGACAAATTTTGGAGATATATGACTTGGCAAAGTGTGTATAAGCAAGGCTAGTAATATAATGCTTTATGATATTTAGATATTAAAAATAAATACAGTGTCACCGTCCTTAAATGCCTTTTCTTTCTTTTTTCTTATCGTGTTTTCTGTTTGGATTTGTTTTTGTTTAAATAAATTAACCAATCTTCACAATATATCTTACAACTTACCATCCTTTCCTACAAAAAAGACAAATACATGTACATAATTGAGTTTTAAGCGAAAACCCAAATAATGGTAGAAAAAAATAATAAAAAAAAAAGAAATGATGAAAAAGAATGTACTAAAAAGTGCAATATTGTTAGCTTTATTCTTAATTTCGCGTTTGCGCAGAAATCTTTTCTTGTATTGTTTTTTCTTCCGGTATCGGTTTTCTCTGGTCAAAATAAAGAAAGAACATCTTTTTTTTCCAGCAATTGTGTTGTATCTTATTACCAGAAGAATACTAAGTGAAACAATGAAAATAAATCGTATCATTTAAAATGCAGTCTAGTGCTTTTTCAACATACGATTTTCATAGTAAAAAATATGAGTTCTACTTTGAAAAAAGGTTTGAAAACGAGCAAACATTTCAGTTTTAATATTAGTTTGAAATTGTAAGAGATCGATTTAAACAAATAGATAATAATGTTCTATTCTAGAGATTGTTTTTTTTATTATTTTGAATACAATAAAGGCAACAGTAGTATACCGGTGTTCAAAAGTCATAGATTGAGGAAAAGCAAATCCGGGTTACAAACTGAACAGGAGACTATAAACGTATAAACCTTACCATTAACTCCATGTTTTCCTGTAAGCATTATTGAATATTAGTCAATGATCAAAGAAATGTTGAGACGACAATGTTATCGTAATACAAATTATTCAAAGTGTCCGTTATCATTACTTACTGCATCCAGATTTATTTCGAGCCAAAGCACGAAATTTGTATTTTTTTCTAAAACAGACGTTATGTTTAAATTTAAATATATTTCAATATCAAAGAATTCCATATTGCTAGTATATATTTAAGAACTAGTTTTTGTTAATAATTAGAATGCAAACCAAAGGACATTGAACATGTGAACCTAAATATGATATACTTTATTATAAAAGCTTGATACATAACAGGAAGTTTTAATCTGAAGTTCCGGAGACAAATGCGACGACAATGTGATGGGACAAGCAGAGGTGATGTAGTAAATCCGCACTCTCTCGAAGTGTTGATACATGAAAGTTTAAGCATGTGTCATTTATGTGCATATGCAAAATTCCGTTTTGATATCGGATTAATAATTTGAAGAGTTTTTACAAGAAAATTGAAAGTGATTTTTTTGTATTGAAGAGTACTTTTTTATCAGATTTCCAATTTGCTTGAGTTTAAATATTTATCATAAACAGTCTAGTTTAGAATATTGCAATCCCCATTTTTGAATTTTACCGTTTTGATTTTGTTTGAATTAAATAAAAGCAATTTTCAGAAAATATCTTACAACTTACCATCTTTTCCTACAAAACAAGACATATAAATAATTTAGTTTTAAGCGATAACTTATAGTAGAAACGAAAGCCAAAGGCCCCCTTTGCATCATCACATGGTGATATTTACAACACGAAGGGTTCCAGATGCGGAATAGAAACTGCTTACCCTTCCGGAGCACCTGTTTATACCTGCTTTTTGGTGGCATTTGTGTTGCTCAGTCTATATATTACTCAACGCAACAAATATGCAAAGGTATACACTGTTTGAACCGTCCGTCCGTCTGTCCGTCTCTAGGTCAGTCTTGTTCTTGCCATCGCAACATCTCTGAAACCACACAACCGAAGTGCATGAAACGTTGTAGATAATAAAGACATACTATGTAGATGCGCGAAATCGGCAAGAAATTAAGATTCAAATTTTTTCTAGGAGTTATTTCCCTTTTGAATTTATAATGTTGGCCTAAATATACTATTGAAACATTTGTCATTGCAACTTCTCTTAAACCACAGAATAGAATTTAATGAAACTTTATAGATGATAAGGACATACTACATGTACTATGTAGAGGTGCATATTGAAAGGAAATTCTGATTCAATGTTTTTCTATTCCCCTTTGAACTAAGAATTTTGTCCTTAGTATACTACTGCAACATTTTTTTCATCGCAACACCTCTGAATTGACAAGAGAATTTCATGCAACTTTAAAGATGATAAGGACATACTATGTAGATGTGCATACATGTATCAACAAGAAATACTGATGTATTTTTTTTCGGCCATAATGTACTACTGCTATAGTTTGACAGCTTAACTCAACTGAAACCACATCAGAATTTTAGGAAACTTTGTAGGTAATCAGAACATAATATGTAGAGATGCATATCGACAAGAAATTTTTATCAGTAGACTTTTGTTAAAGTAATAATACTTTGAACTGAAGTATCTGGTCAGATATTGTTTACCTAGTGACAATGTTGGTGCGTGGGATATGTGAGTGTGCTCTCAAAGGTGTTTTTAATTTTAATTGTAGTATTTTGCAGACCTGTTGTCTTTTCGTTTTTTGCCATGGAGTTGTCAGTCATTCTTCGGCGTTTTACTTTTCAATTTCCCCGCAGTATCTTCGGCCTCTTTTAAAATGCGCATGGATAAGAAGATGGTGCAACCGGTTGCAGATAATAATCAGATGTTGGAGTATTTCTATAATTTGAAAAACAAGGGTTAAGGAACATATTTCTCAAAAACCAATAAACAATTGTAACAACTTTTTTCCTAAATATATATTGAAAGCTTCTTAGATACACAAAAACCATTGTAAATTAAAGTATTGACGAAAATGATTTTTACAAACACATTACTAATTCAAACAATTATCGCTTTCCGTAACCAGCGTTAACCTCTTATAGTAGAAACCATAAAACATGAAATTAGAAAGAAGTTATTTTTCGGTTATTATATTTGTTGTAAATATACTTATTCAATACAAACTTCAGAATAAGATATAGCTTACAAATGATACCCTTGTTTTAAAGTATTCAGTAAACAGGAAGTTGATCAACGATTGATAGAAAAACGCACCACATGATTAAGAATTAAGCTTAATATCTAATTTCAGGATGCTCTGATTTATTGAAAATTGAAAAAAATCATACAATCATGACAGGTTTAAATACCTTTACCTTACTTTACCCTCATGTAATACCATTCTTCGAAAGTTTGAAAAAAAGCAGTTTATAATTACTCAAAAACTATTCTTAAAAATCATTCGACAAAATAAAACCACAGTTTTTTTTCGAACATAAAGACCAAAAAAAAAAACAAAAAAAAACACGCACATATATTTATGAAATGGAAAATCGATTGAAAAATGTTTACCATTTTATGACAAATTTTGGAGGTATGTGACTTGGCAGAGTGTTTATAGGCAAGGCTACTGATACAATGCTTTATGATATTTAAATATTAAAAAGAAATAAAGTGTAACCATCCTTAAATGTCTTTTTCTTTCTTTTTTCTTATCCTGTTTTCCATTTGGATTTGTTTTTTTTGTTTAATTAAATTATCCAATCTCCACAATATATCTTACAACTTACCATCCTTTCCTACAAAAAAGACAAATACATGTACGTAATTGAGATTTAAGCGAAAACTCAAATAAAAGTAGGAAAAATAAAAAAAAAAAAAAAATTGATGAAAAAGAATGTACTAAAAAATCCAATATTGTTAGCTTTAGTCTTGATTTTGCGTTTGCGCAGAAATCTTTTCTTGTATAATTTTTTCTTCCGGTATCGGTTTTCTCGGGTCAAAATAAAGAAAGAACATTTTTTATTTCCAGCAATTGTGTTGTATCTTATAACCAGAGGAATATTGAGTTAAACAATGAAAATAAATTGTATCGTTTTCAAAAGGAGTCTAAGGCTTATTCAACATTCAATTTTTATAGCAAACACAATGAGTTCTTCTTTTCAAAAAATGTTTGAGAACGAGCAAAACATCTTTAGTTTGTTTGGAATTGTAAGAGATCGATTTAAACAAATAGATAATAATTTTCTATACTAGAGATTGTTTTTTTTATTATTTTGAATACAAAACAGGGGACTGTAAATGTATAAACCTTACCATCTATACCGTCTTTTCCATTAATTCCATGTTTTCCTGTAAGCATTATTGAATGTAAGTCAATGATCAAAGAAATGTTGAGAATACAATGTTATCGTATTACAAATTATTCAAGGTGTCCGTTAGAAGTACTTACTGCATCCAGATTTATTTCGAGTCAAAGCACGAAATTTGTATTCATTTCTAAAACAGAAGTTTTGTTTAAATGAATATATTTCAATATCAAAGAATTCGTTATTACTAGTATTGTTTAAGAACTAGTTTTTGTTAATAATTAGAATGCAAAGCAAAGGACATTGAACATGTGAACCTAACTATGATATACTTTATTATAAAAGCTTGATACATAACAGGAAGTTTTAATCTGAAGTTCCCGAGAAAAATGCGACGACAAAGTGATAGAACAAGCAGAGGTAATGTAGTAAATCGGCATTCTCTTGAAGTGTTGATACATGAAAGTTTAAGCATGTGTCATTTATGTGGATATGCAAAATTCCGTTTTGATATCGGATTAACAATTTGAAAAAAATTTACAAGAAAATCGTAAGTGAGTTTTTTTTTGTATTGAAGAGTACTTTCTTATCAGATTTCCAATTCGCTTGAGTTTAAATACTTATCATAAACAGTCTAGTTTAGAATATTGCATTTACTTTACTTTAACCCTAATTGACACTTAATCTCCTAAATAGCTCAAATGCAGACTTTTTACGTTCGAATAAATAAAAAGCAAAAAGTCAAAAAAAAAAAAACGTTCATTGCCTTTTACACATTGTTTTGAAATACGAATATCGTTAATGTACAAGTTTACCTTTGTTGGTAATTATTTAAGTTTCTGACAAAGTGCATCGCATATTAATGATGCTATTGGTAAAATGGAAAATGGTACCAATATAGATGTAGGAAGTGTTTGAAATAATAAATAACATTACCTGCTGGTCCAGGTGTACCTGCCAACAGAAAGGAAATTACCACATGCATTTAGCGGTTACAGAATAATATACATTCAGTCTAATATCATTGTCGTTTTCCAAGAACTGTTGATAGGATATCATAGTCATTTTTCGATATATGTTTTCACATGCAGTCGGTTTTTAACCTGGGTTTTATCTTCGAACTTGAAATTGCAAATACGGATTTCCAAATATGAACAAAAAAATATGATACTGCATATTCCATATCAATTGGTCATGAGTATTGGTTAAATCTATTTTCCATGATATATATATGTCTCTGATTCTTACACGATTTATCCTTTTTCTGACATGTTGATTATTTCTATTTAATCAACGTGTGGTTCGTTTGATCTCGGTTCTTCATTGGTCAAAATCGATTATGACGTCAAATTTTCTTGCTTTCCTCTGAGTTTCCTATTGTGACGTCATGAAAAAGGCGACCATGACTGATGACGTCACATAGAAAGAACACATCTTTTTGCAGATAATTCGAAAAGAATGATTGAGTTTGTCTGTATATCGTTTAAAAATCATTAGCGAAAAAGATTCCAACACCAAATCTTGTGCAATACGATAGTTATCCACTCTTGACAGTTAAATTTTAAATATTTAAAATTTGAAAAATTTAACTGTCTCTAGTGGATAAATATCGTATTACACTCGTTACAGTGGTAGAATCTATATCTATCAGGATTCATTTACCTCTTTACATTGGGTTCAATTCAATATATATATAAAAATTTTAACAAGAACATGAATCAATTTTTAAAAATCGCCAAAATATAATCAACTTTCTAAATGGTAATCCAGTCTAATAAATTCAGAGGTCTTACATTAATGCTGTTTGTAAAATAAGGTTTTATTTTGAAATAAATATAGAAAGAAATCAATCATATTTATGCACACAAACTAAATCCACAAAGGTTTAAAACTTACAATTTTGATTAAAGAATCTGTGTTGTACATTATATAACAGGTCATGATTAATTGTAACCATAAGCCCCTAACCCTTATTCTAAGTATCTATATTTTTGTTTAAGAAATATTCAGACATAATTAAAAAATAAACGATAGAAAGTAGCAGAATTCTATTGAAGTTGCATAGTAAAAGGTCTAAATATAGCTCCCTGGCAATAAAATATACCATAATGTTAAACTTTCAGTCTGGCTTCGACATGATTTTCTTTGATTTGATAAACACAGCAGATAATCCAATTCAAGAGTTTGGAACTTTCCAACGTGAATATAACGGAAGTATATATGTTAACATTTGTTAATGTCGTAAGAACATATTTAACATTATAGTTGCCTCCTATACCAGTGTTCAATGGATTTATAGTTATAGTTATGAAATGGAAAACAAAAGAGGGACGAAAGATACCAGAGTCAAATAATGCAGCTATTTACCTTTGAATAACAGTTTGAGAAGGTATTTGACCAAGTTAGCTGTGTATACACAAGGCTATTGGTACTGTGCTATATGATATGTAAAGATACAAAGGAATACAAACAGTGTAACCGATCTTAATAGAATAGGTCCTTGTTTCCTTTCTTCTTTTCAGCGTTTGAATTGTTTATTTTAATGAATAAAAACATTTTCTTACAATTGTGTTGAAGCAAGACTAACTTTGGTGGATAGTTGTTTCATTGGGACCAATACCACATTTCCTTATTTGTATTGTCATGGTACAATGCTATATAATATTTACAGAGATGAAGGGACATTTACAGTGTTAACGTCCTTAAAAGGTATTTAGTTCTTTTATCTTATCATGTTTTCATCGTTTACATTTTCTTTTCAATATCTTACAACGAACCATCTTTTCCAACAAAACAAGACATATGAATAATTATGAATGACGCAATACATAATGATTAATACAAAAGTCAAAGGCTTAATTTGCGTCATCTCATAGTGATAATAACAACACGACGGATGCCACATGTGGAGCAGGAACATTCCTACTATTTCGAGAATAATTTTCCGTAACCGACGAAACATTATAATGTGGAAACCATTTGACTGAAATTAAAAATTAATCGTCTCCGGTTTTCAAACTAGTTGTTGTGAAACTTATTCAATACAAATCTTCAAAATAATGATAAATTCATAACAGACAAAACAAATTGTCAGACAAAAAAAGACTTAGTATACCACTTTTGCAATAAATTCAGAAAGATAATTGTTTATTTTTTCAGTTGATAAAACAAGCTTGTGTTCCTAAATTTACTTGTAAATGGTTGCTTTTGTGAGTATATCTATGTTTAAACATATCTATGCATTTCTTCTAACTCATCTTAGGATCATTTATAATTGTTGATAACATTATATGACACTGAAAACGAATGGTTTTATTTCATTATTTTTAGAAGAGAGCTGATAGTTTTGACATTATTGGAAATACAAATCGTCAACAGTAGATAAAGTATATTTTTTTTTTATTGAAGTTTGACTTATTAACTTCCAGAAAGAGGCATCGAAAATGGGTTTTTCAAGAACAAAAATGAAAGAACTAATTTGTTTTTGAATTGGTGCGCATTTTTTATTGAGAAAAAAAAAAAACAAAAAACAAAAAACAAAAAACGCCACTCCTAAATCTAGGATAACATTTAAGAAATACATGTGTTTTCTTGAAGCCTTTTTAACATATCTAGAGTAAGTAATAAAACTTTTGTTTAACTAAATAAAAGCACAGCAAAAAAAGAAACAAATATTCACTGATACTATAGACTTTATAAGTTGTGTTTCTGATGTAAAATAACAATAAATTGTCAGAAGATTCAAAAGCCCAAAACAGTTTTGGGCGTCGTATACTTGATATATGTAAATCTACAGGTTTAAGAATATGTAATGATAGGTTTGGTACTGAGAGTGGTAAATATACTTTTCAAAATAAAAACGGCTGTAGTCTAATTGATTATGTGTTGATATCACAAGACAAAATTTTTACAGTGATCAAGGGATTAAATGTTACATATTTCATTATATATGTTTTCATGTCATGCTCCATAAAGTATTATATATAAATATTAATAGAAAGATTAATGGTCAATGTACTTGTGTAAAATATGTTGACAATAGAGTGAGGTGGAATGAAGGGTTAAAATCCGGACTTGTAAATGACATGCTGATAAATATTCAGAAGTTTGACGATTTAATGTTGAATTAAACGGAACATGAGAACGATTTTGACAAAGGTGTCGATGATTTGAACAAGCTGCTTAACAAAACATGTGAACACTATACAAAAACAGAAGTTGAATTTATAGATTACTGCGAACACTTTATAATTGTAATACATGTAAAAGTCGAAAACCGTTTGTTGAATTTGATAAACCATGGATTTCTGAAGATTGTAAGAATCTTTATAGACAATACAAATCGGCTTTACATTGCCAAAACGACGAAATCAAATATCTACGATATATATCCTCAATCAACGAAAATTGGTACCCACAAAAATAAACAAATCCGCAGTATTAGTGGTTTGCAAATTCAACAGACAAGCTAAAATTTTATTGAAAGAATT